GCAGCCATCATATTTTACTCACCCATGCCTGTAGTGAACAGTTGCTTCTAATGTCTCCACTTAAACATCTTTGTGCATACAAAATTATCTTATTGACGAGTTCCTCTCTGAGGATAAAATAGGGAACGGAGTGCTGGAACCCCAGTGTATATGTTTCCCAGAACTGTCAGGCTGCCCCCCAGAGTGACCGCCCTGTCTACAGTCCCAGTCACCTTCTGGGACTCCAGTTTTAGCCACGCCCTCAGCAGCACTGGTACCTTCCAGCTTCCTCATCTGTTAAAGGAATGGTTTTAAAGAGAGACTTCGTTTTACTTTGCGTTTCTGATTCCTCATAAGGTTGAACATCCCCTCACACAGTTGTTGAGCACTTGAGTTCCATTTTTTGAAAATTGTGTATTCAAACCTTTAGATTTTTATATTTAAATCGAATAAGAAACGAGTATGTTTTTATTCATTGCCCTTATCAGTTGAGTCAAGATGATTTTTGTTAAGTTATAAAAACTTGTATGGTTAAGTATTAATTTCTCACTAGTTTTGGACCCTGTTAATATCTCATTCATCTGTTAACTTTGTCAATGTTTCCTTCATTTTCATTTAGTAAAATCCACCAATTTTCCACTTTTTTTTTCTTGTGGATCTTTAGGAGACCTTCATAAGGTCCCCAAATCCTTATTTATGAAACATAAATTATCTTTCATATTTACTACATGTTAAGAATAATTGTGAGGCTGAGGTTGTGGCTCAACAGTAAAGCGCTCACCTAGCACATGCAAAGTGTTCGATCCTCAGCACCACATAAAAATAAAACAAGTAAAAATATTGTGTCCAACTACAACTAAAAATTAAAATAATAATTGAATATAAGGCCCAGGTTTTTTTTCCTCCATATCATGAACCAATTGTCTGAACACTCTATGAAGTCTTCCTTACTATTTCATAGTATCACTGATATATTTCAGATTCACATTTACATGTCATTTTATTTTTATATGAACCCATGACTCTTCCTACACAATTTTTACTACTGTCTTAAATAATATGTTCATGTGCAATAAGGTGATGCCTCTTTCCTGTTTTTATTTTGCCAAATCAACTAAGCTTTTTTGTAAACTTTTGTTTTCCTCTGTTATAAAAAGTTTAATGGGTTTCTGGGGGAAAAACAGAGGAAAAAGTCCCAATGAAATTTAATTGGAATTGTGTTCAATTTATTGGTTTAGGGAGGGTTCACATCTTTACAATATCAGAAACATAACTGTCCATTTACTCAGATCTTCCTTTATGTCTTTTAAGTGTTTCTAAAATTCATCCAAGATCTTTTACATTCACTAAAATGAATAGTTGTATTGCCACTATGACTTCACTGTTTTATGGTTTTATTCTTACGATGAACATAATCTTGTCTTCCGTATTTTTAGTGGGATATTGCTATTATAATGGAAAGTCACTGATTATTTTATAACTTAATCATTGAACTTCTTTACAAGGCCTGAATTTGTGAGGCAATCCATAGAGCATCTCAACTTAAATAAGGACAGTTCTGTGTCACAGTAGTGGCGATCATAGACATGCTTGTTTCTGGTCTCCGTGGGAGTGTTTCAGTTTGTGTTTCTCTGAGAGAAAAGCCAAGACAAGAACTTGTTTCAGATAGTTTATTTAGGAATAGTTTATTAGGAAAATGGAATAGAAAACATAGTCAGGGGAGGAGGAAATGCCAATATACAGCTGTGCTTCTGAAGTTTTCTCCGTAGGTAACAGGGACTCGATTCCTTTTCTGATAGCAGGAAAAAATTCCTCCCATCATCTCTGTCTGCAAAACATAAATCTGAGGCATTTCTCCATGGCTTGATCCCTGTTAGTTGAGGGTGTTAATAGGGTGTTAAGCCTAGCACTTTCCCATGACACTTGCATACAAGCTGAGATTCTTGCAGTTTGGGGGCAGAGAGCAGAAAAGTGAAGAGTGGTACAGGAGGGATGCTGTCAGAATGAGCTCAGCTCACATGAAAATGCCCACCACGGCTGCAACCCAAAGTGGAAGAGCACAGAGGAGACGTGACAGTACCAACAGCACCCACTTTAGCCCACCCTTTGTACCCATGCAGACCCTCCCATGCCCACCTTAAGCTGCTGTGGACTGAGTGAGAGGCCATTTGTAATCTCTAGAAAACACAGAATGGGAGGGTCAGTGGAACTAGCCAGTCCCCGTTGCTGCTACTGGTCACAGGCTGATCACTATTATTTTTCTTCTGCCATCCTTTCCAGAATTTCCTTATTCTTGGCCAGTACTTCAGCTCTACTAAGCTGCTTGCCTGGTATAGTGATCCACACCTTCAATCCTGAGAGCTTGGCTGCCAAGACTCTGTGGAAACACAGTTACCTCTCTGAATTCTCTGCCCATTATGTAGCAGGAAGCAGAGGCTTTGGAGGTGATCAATATTGCAACTCCTTTCTTTGCTACTATCCCACCAGTGTGGAAATCCTGAAGTAACTACTTGCGGCAGATATTGTCAGATTCCTTGGAACCCTTACTATATTTCCAGGGGACCCTGTACCTTGCTCTTTAAGGTTCAGAACCTCTCAGCCAGCAGGGCCTGTATCTGCAGAGATGGGAACATAAATTCAATGAATGAGTTCATTGAAATGATATTGGGAGACACCAATATGCTTGTTTCATGGTCCTGACCCTGCTAAAGGGCCCTATTGGTTTAATGTACAAGTATAAAACCTTATAGGGACAGATAATAAATAGTTTAGTCTTTGTAAGTGATAATGGTCTTTGTCCCAACTACTTTGCTACTGGTGATCAAAAACAGCCACAGACAATACAAAAACATTTCTATAAAGTTAGCACATCCTTTAGGATGTTTATCCCACAGACATAAGAGACAATCATTCTGTGATTGCATATTATCATTTTGCTGCCAAGTTGCTAGCTGGTCTGGTTTCCTGAGAAGTCAGGACCACAGAGGCAGCCCAGCTGCTGAAAGACCCATCGACTGCATCCATTCCTGTCATACCTTGTCAATTCTGCTCTAATGACATGGGGCAAGCACTGGAATAAGCAAAAGACATCTCACAAATGAGTGATGCTACTTTTCAAACACATATAGATTCAGCATATGTTAATAAAATTCAAATGCAAGGGCTGGGGATGTAGCTCCATGGTAGAGTACTTGCCTAGCAAATGCAAGGCCCTGGGTTCAATCCCCAGCACCATAATAAATAAATAAATGAATATTCAAATCCAAAGTTCAGGGTATACATACTTCCTCTTGAACATCTCTCCTAACTAACCACTTTTTTCTCACCTTTCTTATTCCCTCCCCCAGATACCAAGGAGGCTTTCACAGCAGCAGGCTTCCTTGATTGCCTGAGTAGCTAGAAAACAAACAGCAAATGGCATTGACTTGTAACTATAATTTTCTTTATTATAAATGGAATTAAGTGGTCCCTCCACTATAGATTAATTTTGACATTCAAAGAAATAAAAATTAAAAATATATACATATTCTTTTTTAATATACTTTTTAAAGAGTGAGAGAGAGGGAGAGAGAGAGAGAATTTTAATATCTATTTTTTAGTATTTGGCAGACACAACATCTTTTTTTGTATGTGGAGCTGAGGATCAAACCCGGGCCGTGCGTATGCCAGGTGAGCGCGCTACCACTTGAGCCACCTCCCCAGCCCCTATATACATATTCTTAAGTGAACATGTATAAAATAACATTTTATTTTCCCTTTTATAGAAAAGTAAAAACTCACACTTAAAAAACTGTCCCTTAATTTAAAAATGAAAAGTGATACATTTTGTGTTATGCATTTCTTGCCAAAATAAAAATTATGGCATTTCAATATGACCACAGTTACTGGGGCAGAGGGAGGTCTATATTCTGGTAATCTCCCAGTTCCCTTAATTTCCACAAGTATTTGATTTTATTAAAGGGGAGCTAGATGCAATGTGACATCCTGAATTGAGTCACAGAACAATAAAAGAATATTAGTCAAAAACTAGTGAAATCTGAATAGAATGTACAGTTTGATCAACAAATACCAACACTAATTTCTTAGCTTTGACTCGTATGGTTTAGTATATAAAATGTTAACATTAAGGGAATCTTGGCAAAGGACACGTGGGAACTTCCCACACTATCTTTGCAACTTTTCTATAATTCTAAAATTATTTTAAAATGAAGTTTATTAAAAGGTGGGAAACTTAAGTATGTACCTGTGTAGACTAGAACACAAAATTGAGATTGTTACAATTCCCCTAGAGAAGTATCAGTAAGTTCCACCAAAATTTAATAAGCTTATTAAAGACTTTTTTTATCATCATGGTTGGCAAGGTTTTCCAACATATTTTAGATTCCATACTTTTAATAAAGTATTACTATACTTGTTATTTATTAGACATTGGAAGATCATAGATTCGTAGATTATTATCAGAGGGTAGGCTGGGATATAGCTCAGTGGTAGAGTTTAATAAGCTTATTAAAGACTTTTTTTATCATCATGGTTGGCAAGGTTTTCCAACATATTTTAGATTCCATACTTTTAATACAGTATTACTATACTTGTTATTTATTAGACATTGGAAGATCATAGATTCGTAGATTATTATCAGAGGGTAGGCTGGGATATAGCTCAGTGGTAGAGTGCTGGCCTCTATTGTGCTAGTATTATCTCTCACACCACAAAGGCAAACAAACAAGCACTGGAGGGGTATTAAACTACCTATTAACTTTAACCATGAGAGAATCAACACCAGAAATATTAATAACTGGTCAATAGTTTCTAGAATTCAATTCTTCATTCTCAGATCAATAATTTAGACTGCATTTCTTTCTCAAGGTTACCCTCTGATGAGATAAACTAATGTGTATTTTGTCAGTTTTTAAATGTATAATTCAGTTTTTCACGATTCCTGTGAATGTTTCTGTTACAAAATAATTATTGCTAAATGACAGCATGATGGCAAATTAACAGAAGACAACAACAACAAAAACTTCATTGTATACTTAAGGTGTTCCTTTTTAATGCGAGAGTAGAGTAATTCACAGTAAAGTAAATGGGAATTTAAGAATATTTTTTAAGAAGTAACAATTTTAGGTAGGCAATCATGAGGAAGATAATCGTCATACAAGCCAAAGCCACATGGTTCTGCCACAAGCCCCAAGGCGAGAGATCAATGCCCTGATTTGTCAAGTATTCTTCACCAGTACACCTGAAATTCAACAAAAAACAATATAAAGTCATTCCTAAAATCTGTCAAATTTTATTCAGCATATTCTCTGCTCCTTATTGAGGCGTAGAGGCAACAAAATTGTTAATAATAATCCCTTCATGAATAATTGCTAACAGTCACTGAATGCTTACAATTTTGCTAGATACTATGCTAAGTAAGTTGTACCTAACAGTTCAGTTAATAGCTATTACAATCCCAAGAGTATATATATGATACACATTTAAAATAGGAAGGGAAGGAAGCTTAACAACCTTGGCCAAATTTACAGAGTCATGCTATGCACCAAGTCTCTAGCCTCCTCCGATTTATTCATTAACAAATCTAGGATGCTGCTCTCTTTGAAGGAAACTTTACCAAGTTAATCTTCCACTTACTTCTGATGGGCAACCCTTAGCTTAAACTAATGACACTTACAGCCCTTGCTAAGGTGATCACCAACAAGACAGCCAGCAAAAGAATACAGGCAAGAATGCTAAATCTAAGAACAAAGGGAGTAAAGGCTTCCAATCTGAGCAATATTTGGTCAACTGCTGCACCAAGACACTAGGGAGGAGTGTAGAAACCCAGCTATAGGACGTGACCAGGAGGCCCAGGAATCAGTCTCAACCCTTAGGTAGCAACTGGAGCACAGCAGGATGGAACATTCCTGCCACAGGTTTGAAAATCAGCTGGTACTAAAAACACCTGGTGCAGCCACAGTTATTGCCAGCTGCCATTCTTGTGCACCTCTAAGAATTTATCATTCCAGAAACATCAGTGGCCTCTCTTGCTATAAGAGGAGTTTCCTTCCTCCTTTTGTGAAGATGAGCCTTATATGAGCATGAAGCCATCAATGGCTCCTCCTTATCAGGTCACATTCTTCCCAAGCACTCCATCCTGACCAGTATCCTGGCAATGAGTTTCTGTTACAAAGATGTCACACCCAGATCAAACAAAAAAAGAGTGGGCAGGGTAAAGAAAACCCTTCTTCACAGATTTTCCTTATTAGTACTCAAAATAGAAATGTGACCCATTACTAACAATTATTTGAACATTTAGAAGAGATTGAGGATATCAGTATTTTCTTTTCTCTCATTAATTCATGCATCAAAATCAAACCATTAACAACAGCCATAGAAAATATTATTCAAATTTTAAAACTAGGTCCTATAATTTTATTAAAACCTGATTTCTGTTTTAATGACACTATGCAAAAACAAACTTCCTTCTTCATACTATTTCTCCCCTGTTAGATCTTACTAGTGGCTGGGTTCACAGGTATCACATATAGTTCAAAGCTATAAGCCCTTGCTAAACTATCAAAGCAGCCCATTTCAAATGGTTCTGAAAAAAATTACAACAAAATCAAAATCAAAACTATTTAAAAAGTATCTTTTAAAATGGCCTAAACAAGCAAGCAACACACAGGAAATAGTATTCCATGTTAAATACAACTTTGACTGTTAGAAGAATATAGGAGTTATATAGCACATTCACATATATTAGGGCACAATGATTACTTTATGAGTAAAAAAATTAAGCTCAGAAATGTTTGTTGACACTGAAATGACTCCTATCAGTTCTAAGCCCTGGGGCCTTTCTACACCACCCCATAGTACAATCAATCTCATGCTCTGACACTGCATGCATACTTACATTAAATTCTCAGTAGGACGGGTACTGATTTCTGTTTTATTTAAATCTGGACAGAAGTTTTGTCCCAAAAATTCATTATACTGCAAAGCCTACAATAGAAAGGGGAGTGGGGCAAGGTAATACTTGTAAATTTCAAAAGGTTTCCAAGGAATTATCACAACTATGTCTATTATGATTTGAATACAAGGTATCCCCCAAAACCTCCTGTGTTGGTAGTGGGAATATTCAGAAGTAAATGATTAAATTAGGAGACTTGAACCTAACCGGTCCATCCTAGTTTCAATGGGCTAACGAGGTAGTAACCATGAGCAGGTGGAGCATGGTTGGTGGAGTTGGGTTGTTGGAGGTATGCTCTGGAAGGGTCGATCCTCCCCTACAGCACCTTCCTCTCTCTCCTTCCCTTTTCTCTGTCTCTGTCTCTGTCTCTGCCTCTCTCTCTCTCTCTCTCTCTCTCTCTCTCTCTCTGCTTCCTGACTTTGCCAAGAGCTGAGCAGCTTTTCTCTGCTGGGCCTTTCTTCCATGATTGCTGCTTTACCTCGTGACCAGAGGAATGGAATCAGCCATCTATAAACCTCTGAAACCACGAGCCCAAATAAGCTTTCCCTCCTCTAATCTGCTCTTGATGGGTGTTTTGGTCACAGTAATGAAAAAGCTGACTAAAACAATGTTCTTAAATTTAATTCTACTGTTATTTCTAAAAACATACCAAGTCTCTCACACAGTACTTACCAAAGTGAAACAACTAAAGTTAGAAACCTGGTCGTGGTGTGTTAAGACACAGGTTATTTTGGAGCTAATTAGCTCCCTAAAACCAATATGGCTCTGAGTATTAAATAATCCTTGTTTTCCTTCTAACATAAACTGTGAATTCTAGTCTCTCATCTTCTCATTTATTTCCTTAACAAACTGAAACACAATATTTTTTTCACCAACTAGTCAATCTTTTCCCCAATCTTTCCCCTTTGAGATTTCTCCCCAGCCTTCCATCTTCCTCAGACAATGGTGTGACTTGGGAAAATACCCAGTTGACTCCCTCACCTTTTGCTAAACAAGGCTAAAAGGAAACACTGATGTATTTTTCCTGAAAGACAGTTCCTAGATGGAAGACATTCACAGCTTATGGGTAGGGAAATGAGAGGGTCAGGCTTGATTCTGGTTGTTCCCAGGTGGAAACCCACTCACGAAGATAAGGACAACGTACCGTATAGCCATATCTAGGAATGCTGAAGTACTGGAGCCATGAAAGCCAAGGTGCAATGGTTTTGAGATTTACCAAAAGACCTGAAAAAAGCTACAAAAAGCAAAACTGAAGGGTCAGAACAAGTCCAAAAGTTTCATGAAAAATTCTAAACAGAATCCTCTTCAAGAACTCTACAACCTTCTAAACATTCTGCTAGGACCAATTCTTTCTTGAAATTCTTTCCACTACTTTAAGCACTTACTCATCGTCCTCCTTTGCATGTGTATACCTCTGCATAACTGTGGCAGTTCACGTTTAATGGAAATACAATAAACCTATAGTTTATATTATATATTCCACTTATTTGGAAAATCCTTGTCAAGACTAGACTCTAATCTTTCTCTGTAACTGTAAGGGAAGATTAAAAAGTACAGTCACCTCTTGGCATCCACATACAGATACCAAAATCTGGAGATGCTCATGTCCCTTAATTACATATAACTCATGCACCTCCTTTATACTTTATACACACCCTGTACTTATTTAAAGTCAACTCCAGATTGTTTATAGTACAACATAATGCCATGTAAATAGCATATTGTATTCTTTAAGGAAAATCACAAGAAAAAAGTCTGTACATATTTAGTACAGATGCAATTTTTTTTTATATATGTACTTTCTACCTGCAGTTGGCTGAATCTTTAAATGCAGAACTCATGGACACGAAGAAAGAAGTGTGCTTATTATTTTAATGAAGCCACCACTATGTGTTCACCCTAATAAACCTTGAAATCTAAGAACATAATCCAGAACAATCCTGAGCATCAGATGCCCCCCTATATACCCACACAATAAGATTCATTATTTACAAGGATTTGCAGTGTATGTCCATGAGTTTAGGAATAACTGGGGATTCTGAATCCAGGCTTAAGATAACCCAATACCTAAAACTGATAAAAAGTATAATATAGTGAAGTACATCGGAAAACATGGTCAATAACTCCACTTAAAGTGACCAGAAAGCAATGGAGACGCCAGGAAGGACTGCTTGAGACACACCAGGGACAGCTACAAGGTCCATGTAACACTTGTCCTAACTGATACTAGATACACTGAGATGTGCAGAACAATGACAATGTTGTCATGTGCCTTTGGATATTTACTCTTGGACGTACCATGTGCTACACTGGTACATTGTAGATACCATAACCCACATTGGTAGTTTCCAAATTCAGAAAGGAAGAACTAAATTCTAGGAAGAGTCTGAGCTAATTACGTCATATTTAAAGATACGTACTCCAACTCTAACAGAAAGTAATATTAACATTTTCATTAATAAGCTAAGCAGTCCTTGATGTCTGAAAAGGAAAAAAAGATGACTGGTTCCATTAATCCATTGAGTCTATGTGAGTGTAAAACTTAGGGACATGTAAGATTAGGAATATTAGCCATCAAGCAAAACAAAAAACAAAACAAAACAAAAAAACCAGAAATAAATTGATATAAGAGATTCTCAGAATCCCAGAAAGGGCTTCAAAATACAAGAAGGGCCCCAGTAAGACTCCCCCGAGCCACACAGAGCTTGCTTTGATCTGGATTTGCTCTATGCCTCACAGAGCTTTGCTTTGATCTGGATCAAAAGGCAGTGAATGCAACCAAACTCTGCTGTGGGTAAACAGCTGGCAGTTCTCTAACACCAGCATTAAAGGCTGGCAGATAACCTGTCATCTTTTATGAGGGAACCAGCCAATCATTGTTCTGGTTTTCTTTTAAAGTTCTTGTTTATCAAGGTTTCTAAAATAGCAACAGAATTGTCTTTTAAAAGCACATCAGAGGGCCAGAGTTGTGGCTCAGTGGTAGAGCGCTTGCATAGCATGTGTGAGGCACTGAGTTGGATCCCTGACACCACATAAAAATAAACAAATAAAATAAAGGTATTGTGTCCATCCACAACTAAAAAATAACTTTAAAAAAAAAGCACATTAGAATGGAGATGTTAACTAAGTTACTTTAGGACAGTAGCAAAAAAAAAAAAAAAGGCAGAAAAGGGCCAGAAGGAAAGCAGTAATACAAACTATATTTCAACATATGGCTTCATGAAAGTTTCTGAGTCCCACATACAGAATCCTCAAAGCAGGTTTTACAGGACAGGTGAAGGGGCAGGAAGGAGCAAGGGGGACAATTCCCTCTCCTGAGAGGCTCTGTTCACACTCACCATCATAAACACAAAGCATATGGTCATGAGAAGCGTAGCCACAGATGCCACGCTCTGACCGGCTGCGATGGCAAGACCCATAGAACTGGCCGAATAAGCCACCATCATAAGGGTTAACATCATGATGAAGAAAGCGTCTGCCTGTGGTTTCAATCCTGAAAGAAAAGAAGGGGTCATTGAGGCTGCCTATGCTACCGTGTAGCTGGGGTGGTTCATTGTGCAAACAGACTCTAACATCAGAGCAAAAAAAGTTATATATGATTCAATTTTATTCTTTTCCCTCCATGTAAAGTGCATAAAGTTATCATACAGATTGTTTTTTTACATTTACTACATAACACTATCCCATATAACTAATACCTGTGCTCCCTTATGCATAATTATGAGCAATTTCTGAGTTGCTGAATTAAACAAGTATAGGCAGCACAACTGGCCAAATTCTCCTGCCTTCTCCTGTCACAGGAAACTCATCAAGAGCACACTCCCCACATACCCACATTACTCACTGTCGGCTACAACTGCATTACTGAAGAAGCCAGGATCAGGATTCATGACCTCAAAGTGGTTTTTATATCTAGGGGAGGGGAGGTGTCTCTATAACCTGACTCCCCCTCAACAAATCACCACATGGCTCTGTGATTAAGAACAGGACTAATTTTGGATTCTGAAACTATTTTATAAACTATTATGAGGTAATGCTCTGGGTCATGCAGTCTGAAGATTTTGGAATAGCCATAAGAACACCTACTAGGAACCTGGGGTCTAAACTCCATGACCAACTCTTTACAACACATCTGCTATGTGTAAAACGGAAGGGTTACACTTAAATGATGGTTTTATTGTATAGCACTTTGTCTAAAATACATATTTCTGGTGTGTGTATATGTGCCTATTAGTGAAATATATGGGAGTTCTGATGCAATGAATCTGGTACAAAGTGTGAGCATAATGTAAAATGAATGTCTGTATCTATCTAACAAGTATTTTTATTAAATCATTAAACCCCCAAAGTCACCATTCTCCTCTGATTAGAGAATGGGTGGGGGAGAATATATATGTATATTTTAATATTTTTTACCTGTATCTAGATCACTCTATATATTTCTACAAAAAGATACAGATAGTAATAAAATATATGAAGATAAATTGGTTTCATCTACATCCAAGACTGAAAACACACCCTTTTTGTCTTGTTACTTACCTATCATGAAGTACAGTATACAAGTAAATATGACACTTGGCAAAAGCCTCATGGGTAATAAATCAGAAAGCAATTTTCCAAAGAAGTAAGATGACACTCTGTAGTATCCACTGATGTACTCGTGTCTACAGAACAGAAAAAAACACCACACATCCCAGATTAGTCTGAGAAGGCACAGCCCAGATGAGATGCTGCTGTGCAGACTCCTGCTGCCATCAGATCTGCACTGCAGCTGCCCACAGGCTCCAGGCTGACTCCCCACGCCCTTCTCCTCCTCAGGTGCAGCCTCCCTGGAGAATCAGCCCCCCAAGGCTCTTGCTGGGACCCTCTCATGACAGCACCCCTCCTGCTGCCCACTCTGGCCCACATCACCCCTTCAGGGACACAGTGTGCTTCTCCTCACTCTCCTCAGAGACTCTGCTGCTCCTCTGAGGCTGGCTGTGCCTGAACAGCAGCACTTGAGGGGCTAATCTCAGTGTAACAGGGGCTTTTCTTCTCCCCATTTCTGAGTGTGAAGAACGTGACATTGATAGTCTCCAAGGCCCCAATGCTACAGCAGATCCCTAAACTCTACTTCTGCTACTCTCATGTTAAGAAAAAAAAAAAAAAGCTTCTTTCAATGATCCCATCTCCACTTGTAGTCCGGTCATCTACTAAGTCCTCATCTTTCTTCCTGTTGACATGTTTCCCCATAATTCCAAACTCTTCCACTGGGGTCTTTATCCCTTCCCTCTCTGACGATTCCTCTCCTTGGCATGTCAATATGAGAAAATCTCTTCCATCTTTGGAAAACAGAGACAAACCCAGTCTGCTCTTTACTGCAAGGCTGCCCTTTGGCTCTCTCCACTCCTCCATTCACTGGGGGACTACACTTGGTCACAGTCTTTGTCAGCTTTACCTCCTACCTCTAATTTGCTGCTTAACCCACCTCTTAATCTCTACCAAAGCCTCTCAAACTTTTCTTGCAAGGGTTACTATAACCTACTATTTTGTTAAAAAATAAAAGTTAGTTTTCAGTTCCTTTGTTGCTTGCTTTCTCTGGACCACTGGGATTTGCTGACCATAACCTAAGCCTAAAATTACCTTTTCCCTTGCTAGCAGGCCCCGCACACTTGATTTTTTGTTTCACCTCTGACTGCTTTTTCTCAGTTAATATTAGTAATCCCCAATCATATTTCAAAAGTTCATGTCATACACTATAAATGTATATAATTTATATTTTGTCAATTTAAAGAAATAAGTAAAGGAGAAGAAAACCACTCATAATCCTGAGGATCACATCTTTGGCTCAATTCCAGATATGATCAATTTGACCAACAGCCACCAAGGCCCCTTCCCTGAATGGAGACCAACTCACATAAAGAGCTTCTTCTCCACCACAAAGAGCTCCACGGCCGACACGCTGCTGAAACACTGGTTGGTCGTCAGGAAGAAGAGCACCCCTGCTCTGCCAGGACAGAATGGAACAAAAGCACTCTTGGTTGGTTTTCTATCCACAGAAGTCCTCCCACAAATGATACAACATTAAACAGATTTTAAGAAGGAAAAAAGAAACAAGAATCGTTCTGGTTAAAACAAAGAAGGAAGCATGACCCCATGAGGCCCCTTGAGGTCTCTCTGTCTGCGTTTTCGAGCACATTCTGAAATTCACATTCTTCAGCTGCTGTCTACTGAACTGGGTTCCCCTTAAATTCCTAGGTTGAAGCCGGAACCTCCAGCGTGCTGATGCTTAGAGATGGGACCTTCAGGAAGTAACAGGGCTTAGATGAGGTCATGAGTGGAGCCCCATGATGGAATTCATGCTCTCATAAGAGTTGAAGAAGCACCAGACAGTTTTTTCTCTGCCCCGAGAGGGTGCAGAGTGAAGGTGGCCATCTGTAAGCCAGGAAAGCACCCTCACAACAGCCTGACCTGCTGGAACAGACCCCAGACTTTAGAATTCCAGACTCTAGAATGGAGAGAAAATAAATGTGTGTTATTTAAGCCACCAAGTCTGTGGAATTTTGTCATGGCAGCCCAAGCTAATATATGTCATAAAAATATTATCACCTTCAATTTAACCAACTAAAATGCCAATTGTTGTATTCCTATTGTATAAACAGAGAAACAGTAATCTGAATAAAAAAACTAAACAGGTTAAAAGATTCAATCAACCACTTTGGTTCTGAAATTGAATAAAGAAGTTAAGACATGTAGAAGGAAAATGAGAGACAGTGGAGGGAACCTGTACTCAGACACTCACCTTATAAATGAGACTTAATGCTTATTTCCCAGTAAAATAACTGAGGTTTAAAAAGCAAATGCTCAGCTGTTAAGGTCTGTAAACAAGTCAAGATGGTGCCTGGCATTTTGCCAGAGGGAGTGGTTTGAGAAGTAACAAAAGCGAGCCATTAAGTGTGGGAGATTCCTTATTGGTTGACTGCTGTATCTAGTTTATGTAAATTAAGATAAGCTGTGTGTAGTGTATATATACACCTCCTGTCCTACAATAAACGGCTCCCACTCGTTTTTATCAATCTACACAAGTTGTTCGTCACTCCCGGTTATTTTGCTGCAGCCGGACTGCGGCACTCAGCTAACTTACATTTCAGTGAAAACATGGGTTTTATGAGAGCACACCAACATCTTTCGAAAAAAAAAGGCACAGGCTTCCCTTTGTAACAGAACAATTTAATTGACATGGAGGATGTTAGTTGAAACAGAAAAAGAGATGATGTGCTGCAACATTTAAGTGACAGAAAAACAAAAGAACACACCAGTGAACAGCTCCAACTAACTTAAAGGAAAAATAAGAATCCCTAGACAATTCTTTTTAAGACCTATAGAATGAAGCACTGAGCATACAGGCCATTTTAAATGTAAATGTTTGTACAAAATTAAAATGAATGGAAAACATCCAGGCCTAGTAGAGAAGTAGCTAATAACTTACCATCAGGAATAAACTTAATATAAAGTAAAAACCTAATTTCAGAAACATGGGACATAGCAATGATTCAGTTCAATTTATCATCTTACATCTAATAATAAAGTAATGTTCATGGTTCTGCAAAAATTAGACAGTGAAATTCCTTCTAAATCAAAAGATGACTTCTTTAATACTGAATACATTTTTATTATTAAACAATTTAATGCATTCTAATTCTTTTCATGGTGATAAGCCACATCTGTCTCATATATATAATTTTTTTATAGTGAAAACATTTAAAATTTATTTTCAGGAATTTCAAAATATACATTACTACTTACTATACTTACCACACTATGCAATGTTATCTCAAAGGGAAAAAAAAAGGTATTCTTCCTGTCTGAGACTTTGCACCCTATGACCATCATCTTCTCACTCCTCTAATCTGTGACAACTACCATTCTACTGTCTGCTTCTGGTTGTTTTAAACTCTACATATGAGTGAGCACATATGGCTTTTGTCTCTTTTTATCTGAATTATTTTACTTAGCACAAGGTTCTCCAATTCCATCAACACCATCACAAATGACAACATTTCTTTTTTACGGTTGAACAGTATTCCACTGTGTACCCACATTTTTCTTATCCATTCATCTGCTAATGGACTCTTGATTCCTTACTTTGGTTATTGTGAATAGCCCTACAATGAACACAGGAGTGCAGACATTTCTTCAGCAAACTGATTTCAAATACTTTGCATAAATACCCAGAAGTGAGATTAGTGAATCTAATACATTTTTTAAATACCTTTTTCCTTATTCATCTAGTTATCACCACAACTCTATAAAGGCTATTAAGTCAAAGGAGCTCACACACTACACAGGATTCAAACCCATGTCTCAGTTACACAGGTCAGAGAAAGTGTAATGATAGTACTTGACCACAAAAAAAGAGAACTAAACTCTTGGCCTCCCTAGCAATTTCAACTGATGAAACACTGATATTTATCCCTGAAGAAAGCTCTAACAACCTGGTTCCAGAGATGACATTGAGACTCCCGACCCACCCAACTGCACCTAATCAAAAGAATTAATCACTGATCAGTCATCCCAGGAGGGATTAGATAAACTACACACATAGGCCACTTTCAATTAGTCCAAATTCTTATAAAAAATGGTAGCAATTTTGAGTCAAAAAATACGAATTAATATAATTTCTCCAGAAGACACCTGGAGAAAAAGCTAAAGTTCTTCTTTATTTCTTTGGATCTTTTTACCAAGACCATTAATGTCTAGCTTTCCAGTTCATCTTTATAATTCCAATTAAGTACAGGTTTGTAAACAATTTTTCCAAACACTTTTTCCAAAAAACATGCTACACAACAAAAAAAGCCCAGAGCTCCTAGATTCTAGAACAGAGATATGCTGTTCTAGGATAACACAACCTGCAGGAACCATCCATTTCTAGCAAGTATGGAAACAATCAAGAGATCCCAACCCTCAGGGAAGATAAAAAGATAAGCAATGACATAATTCTGAAAACAGCTGCAAAAAAATCATCTCATTGTAGACTAACACTACTTGATTATTTGAGTGAAATCTACTTTTATCCTTATTCTTTCTTTCAAAACTAATCAGTCTTTTCCAGACATCAACATATGTTCAACATAAGCATCTTCAACCATCCTCAACAGGATAATACCATATGCCATCTTTGATCTCTGGAAGGTCACATGAGCTTGTGGGTGTCAAGGAGAGCCCAGTGCCTAGCAAAGTGACAAGAACTCTGAGGTCTGTGATGCAGCACAACACCTATATTCAGAACATGATACAGGCACTACAAGGTCTCAATGTAAAGCCAGGTGCCGTGGTATAAGCCTACAGTCTCAGCTACTTGGAAGACTGAGGCAGGAGGATCACTTGAGCCCAGGAATTCATGGCCAGCCTGGACAACATAGAGATCTCATCTCAAAAATAAATGAAAAATTAACAAATAAATGAATCTCATCATGGATCAAGATTCTTACAGGTATACTATAACTGAAACTAGGTCTGAGTCATAACACACTAACATAACCATTATTCAGTTAGGAAAAGCTGAGTCCCACTAGCTTATCTTTCCCTCAAGTCAAACAAATCCAAAACAGTGAAAATTGGCTAACTTGCAGCAGAAAAATAGATAAACTGAATTATACCAAAGTTGAATACACTTGTACATCAAAGGACATCATAAATACAGTTAAATAAAAACCCACAGAATTAGAGAAAATGTTTGGAAATTATACATCTGAGAAGAAATTAATCTCAGAAATATAAAGAGCTCCTACAATTCAACAACAATAAAACAAATTTAAAATGGGCAAAGAATTTGAATAGGCATTGCTCAAAAGATCCAGTGATCTTTATTGTATATTTTAAAAAAGAATAAATATTAAGTGTTGGGGAAGAGGTGGAGAAACTGAAACCCTGTATACTGCTGATAATGGAAAATGGTATAGTTGCAGACAGAATGGCAGGTCCTCAAAAAATTAACACAATTACCATATAACACAGCCATTCTGCTTCTGGCAACATACCCAACAACTGAAAACAGGGATTCAGACAGATATTTGTACACTCATAACTGCATTATTCACAACAACCAAAAGAAGGAAGCAACCCATATATTCATCAATGGATGAATGAATAAATGAAATGGTATGTGGTATGTGTGGGGGTAATGGACTATTCACCTTAAAATAGAAATGCTACAACACGGATGAATCACGAAGACATTATGTTAAGGGAAATAAGTCAGTCACCAAAGGACAAGTACTTAGGACTCCATGTTCATGAGGTTGGTTCCTAGAGTAGTCAAATTCAGAAACACAAAGAATGGTGTTTGCCACAAGTTGGGAGAAGTAGCTATGAGGAGCTGTTGCTTAATGGGTATGTCAATTCCATTTGGGAATATTTTAAAAAAAGAGTCCTGGAGTAGGATGGTGGTGACTTTTGAACAATCATGTCAATATACTTAAAGCTATTTAACTATATACTATGATGGTTAAAAAGGCAAATTTTATGTTCTGTATCAAGAGAGACATAAATATGTGTTTGTGCATGTGAAAAACAAAAGTAACTCTTCCATTCAGTTTTCAATTCATTCATTCACCCAACCCCAAAAGACAATAGTGCCATTTAGGCTGTACTTGTTTTAAATTCAAATTCTTAATGGATGTTCACGAATTGAACAAAGTAATAGCATTTTTATTTTAAATCAAGATCCAGATTTACTTACCTATTCTGAATTCCACTATAATCATTGCTTAGCCCAAAGTAAATTGCACCTATAACCAGTGCCAATACGATTGTGACAGCAACCTTTTCAAAAAGAAGAATGAAAACAAACAAACAAAAAAGAGTTCCGATTAGAGGTAACAATTTTAACATATCATTTATTTTCACACAATACATGGCAATATAATCAGATCTCTCCATTGAGATAAACATTTTTAATGCTTTGACCACAGTCCCTGGGAGAATATAAAGCAGTATATGTTATTAGACTGCTTTCTAAACAACTAGCAAATCAAGATATTTGTTGTTTTGAGAACTGACAGAACAACAAAGCAGATGACTGCCAGTTCCAGGTCCAGTTCAGGTGCTGAACTGACAAATGCCACACAAGAAGCAAAGTGATGCAAAGACCTAATTAGGTCATTTGAAAAATAAAACCAAGTCTAAGTGACCTGGAGTTTGGGCCTGAACTTTCAACCTTTGTGTCAGTGAACATGCAGTTTCATAAATGGAAACAGGATGTCTTTACTCTTAACATTAAAAATAAACAAAAATTTTAAAGCACACACACAAATTCAAACAATGGGATTTTGCACAATAAAGGAAGTAGGTTTGAGCTGGACTCCACCTCTCCAAGGCCTGGGGAGTCAGAGTCTGCATGGGAAAGTGCATTGTCACTGTCACCAAAGCACTCAGCCAGCTCTCTCTGGGAGCACCCAAGTATTTCCATTACCATCTCCTCTGTTACTGCTTCTCCTTCAACCTCAGTCACTGAAGCATTCAGTCAACACATCACACCTGAGCTGCCAAGACGGGATCATCCTCACCCATCTTCACCTACTCAGTCTACGTGGAGAGTTCTAAGGACACTGGACAAAGCACTTTGGGATTTAGGATAAAAATTCTTTTAAGGATGCTTCAACGAGCAAAGAATTAATTTTCCATTATTATATAATTTGTGTAAAGAATTCTATTTTATTATTATCATTCATAGGATAATAATAAAAATATAAGAAATGGTAATCTAAAGAAAACAAAATACCCTACCATGTGTCTAAGAAAATTCAAAGTTATTCAAAAATCTCAATGCTATAACAATATCAAGACATGAAGTACTTCGTGAAGGACATTTTTTTTGGCATGAAGCAAACAAAAGAAGAAAGACAGTCAGGGCTGGGATTGTGGCTCAGTGGCAGAGCGCTTGTCTCAAGTGTATGATGCACTGGGTTCAATCCTCAGCACCACATAAAAATTAAAAAATAAAATAAAATTTAAAAAGATTCATAATCTGAAAAGGCCAGTTTGTAAAACTAGTCTGGAAAGAATATTATTTAAAGATATCCTTAAAAGTCTCCTCATTAATAAGACAGAAATTTAGGGGGAAAACATCCCATTACCCTGTCATATTTTCAGTCTCCTCAGAATATACCCTATTTCATTAGAATAGATCAATTTTGCAAAATAAACACAGATAACCCTATTAACATGCAGCATGCACTTGTATGTGAGATTCTATACTTTCACACAGTATAAAAAGACTTAATTAAGTCTTTCAAACTAGACACTCCATATTCTTTTGCATTCAAACTTGACATACACTAACATTGTCAGTATTATCATTAGGATGTTTTCTAAAGGCATCAAAGTTCAAAAACTCAGGCCAATTTTCTAACACACTGACAAAATATGAAACTATCCCATGTTCATATCATGATTTTGCAAGGTGTGTCTATTATTCTTCCTTGGATGAAAAAAATTAAAAACACCAGGCAAACTAAACATTGCACAATGGTGCAAATGATCCTATTCCAAACTTTCCACATCTGACCTCTGTTTTGAACAGAAGGATAAAAAAAGAAATTCTCCAATGATATTATTCTGTATCTGCTAAAACATGTTTAACCAATATTTCTCAGGGTGTGTTCTAAGGGATATTTGTAACTATCACTAAAAAAAAAAAAATGAACCTATAGTCAAATGTTTAATATGCTATAGAAATGATGATTCTTCACGAGATCAATGAAAAAGTCTTCCAAAGATCAGAAAACACTTGGCACATAAATGAATGTTAAATCTTTCTATATGGACAACCCACTGATTTCAAGGTCTTCCAAATATAACCTCTTGTTAAAGGCTAAGTCTGAATCATATAAATAAATAGGTAGTTCAAACCAAAGTACAGCAATATGTCAATAGATACAAGATTTATGAGCCAAAAGTCATCAAACATTTTAACATTAAAAACTTAGAGAAATAAAAAAATACACAAGATTAAGGATGCTACATCAAGGATCAGTAAACTATAGTCCACAGACCAAATAGGGCCAACCCTCCTATTTTTGTTAAGTTTATGAGCAAGAATTGTTTGGGTCAATTTGTAATAGTTGAGGGTAGGGGTAAGATAAGGAATATTTCTTTTTTTTTTTTTTACCTGTCCGAGATTTTATTAGCAGCCAGTTGCAGAAAAGAAGGGGGGGGGGAGAGAGAGAGAGAGAGAGAGAGAGAAAAGAAGAAGAAGAAGGAGGAGGAGGAGGAGGAGGAGGAGGAATATTTCTTGCAATACAAAATTCATATGAAACTCAAACTTCAATGTCCACGAATAAAGTTTTATCAGAACATAGCCACATTCATTTGTCTATGTAGTAACCATGGCTGGTTCATGCTAAAATGACAGGGTTGAATACATGAGAAAAAGAGCATATATGGCCTGCAATTTTTAGGGCCTGCCTTCTACACTAACACTCTAGTAGCCACAAACCTTAACAACGGTTGTCCCAGTAAGCTCTAGGAGCTATAAATTTCTACCCTTATTCCAGAGACTGCGTGTCTGTGAACATGGCTAGAATTCCTTTTGTGGAACCCAGTTGACTGATGAGGCAAGTAGGCTGAACATGCAACCTGCAGGCTCTGGGCCTGCTGTCTGCACCTTACAGAAGCCAAGACCCAAAACAGGCATAATACAGATGCATTACAAATAGGTGTGTTCTGATCATGCCCTGCCCACAACTATTACATATGTGTCTTGAACAAGACACTTATAAACCAATTTAGAGGCAAGTAAGAAAAAATTTCTTCATAGGCCCATCTGACATGCTATATATTTTCTCTATTCAGATATCATTATTCTGCCCTCATCGGAAAATAAGCTACAAGAGCAGAGATTTATTTTTATCCATTTTGTCCACTACTATATTAGAGTCTCAAAATACAAAACATGGCCTTGGGTTGAACTTTTGGAATCAATCATTGAATGACAGTGCATAGCTACTAGCAAACCACATGTATGGCTCACACTGCCTTTACTTTATATTTAAAAAGAAAATTTCTACTAAGACTATCCATTATGAGTTGTTTAAACAACAAAAAATTCTGAGAGAGTAAATTTTTACTTGTTCTATTCACTATCTCTACATCCCAAATGGAGTGGTGGGGATGACAAGTCGATGGAGGGGTGGGTAGAAGATACACATATTCCTGAAGCAGACCACATCAGAACCAAATAGCTCCCACCTGAGAACTTCACAGCACAGTGAAAACAATCTGTCAGGTTACCTGAGCTACAGAGGCCTGGGGATTACCCAGTAAATTTTTGAACGAACGCTTGGTAATCCATCTGAGCTGATGACAGAAGGAGGTGACATAGGTGATATCCTTAAAGGCTAAGCTCCTCTTCTTCTTTTGATTACTTGAGAGGTGATCTAACTCAGTTTTTGTGTCTTTGCAGAAGGAGGAATTGGTGTAGAACTCAGCTAATTTTTCTATGATTGGCTTTTCTTTCTGGGAAGTCTCTTCCGAGTTGTTTGCTTTGGAATAAAAGTGGACAAAGAAGGGAAATATTACTGACAGATAAAACTGATTTAACTCAATTTTCTGTGACCCCTTTTTGCACAGCTTCTTAATTCTAAAGGTTGAGTAATTGAAAATTATTAGTTTTTGTCATTGCTTTACACATCAGAAAAACACAAGTAACTGAACTGGACAATGCCATGATCTTATGATACAACAAATTCAATGACCTTTGCCTATTTGGACTCTTGTTATTGTTGTCATGATTGTTTTGTTTTATTAGAGTTTTATAGTTAAACATAGTAGTTGGATTTATCCCAACAAAATCATATATGCATGGAATTGAATTTTGGTTCAATTCCCCTCTGCCCCACCCCCATTCTCCTTCCTCTACTCTATGGATCTTCCTTTCACTTCTCTATTTATTTTTAATTATTTTCTTCTACTTATACATAAAGGTGAAATGTCCTGTGGTATATTTATTCATGCACATAGCATGATTTTTAAAAGTTCATTCTGCATTTCCTCCCCTTTCCCATCCCTCCTCTCTCCCTCCAGATCTCCTCCTTCTTCTCTACTGATCTTCCCTGTAACTTTATGATATCCAATCCTTCCCTCCTTCTTTCCTTTATTTTGCTCTGCTTTCCACATATTTGAGAGAAGATTCAAACCTTCGTTTTCTGAGTCTGGCTTATTTTACTTAGCATGATATTCTCTATTTCCATCCATTTACCAGCAAATGCCATAATTTCATCCTTCTTTAAGGTTAAGTAAAACTCCATGGTGAATATATATCAAAATTTCTTAATCCATTCATCTATGGATGGATATCTGGGTTGATTACATAATTTTGCTATTGTGAATTGTGCTGCTATAAACATTGAGGTGGCTATATTGCTATCCTATGCTGCTTATAGTTCTTTTCAATAAATACCAAGGAATAGGATAGCTGGGTTATATGGTGGTTCCATTCCTAGTGTTTTAAGGAATCTCCATAAGACTTTCCAGTGAACTCTAATTTTTTTAAACAGATTTATCATACAGAGTTGTAAATCTTTATATAAAAATCTGATTCTTGCTTTTTACTATGTGCCAATGCAGAAAGTGTCAAGTTTCCATTTTAAAAATACCATACACAATGAAAATATTGACTTTTAGTGGAAACTACCCTTATAACAGATAGTACCATACATGCATATAAAAACACCCACAGGACACAGCATCCACAAAGCCAGGTTTCAATGAGCCATCATATTGAACATCAGTCAAATCAATTAGGCAAAAATCTGTGAATCTAAGAGACACACATACCTTCAGAGTCTTCTACCTCTCTGTTTAATACCACAGCAGAAGAGTCTCCATTAATGACATCCAGAAAGAAATCTGCAGGGTTGTTATAGGGCTCACAACGGTAACCTATAAAAGAAAACACCCCAAAACTTAACCTCATAGTCTTAGGAAATAAGGAAGACTCATTTTCAGAGGGTGATGGAGGTGAGGAGAAAGGGAAGAAAATCTAACAGATTTCTCCTTCATCTTCTTGCTCTCTTTTCCCCTCACTGATTTATCCTCTTATATATTCAATCATGGTGTTTCAAAAACCCTGTCTCCCAGCAAAAAGAAACAAAAACAATATTCCAAAGCAATTTTGGACTATTCAAAACATCTTGTATTAGTCTTTACCTATCATAAATCCTGAAACCCAAAACGGCTATCACTAGTACTTATCATGACTTCTTCAAAAATCTAAATCTAAGTCCAAGAAATAAAAAGTTAACTTCCTAGTACATTGTGCTGAGTTCACCTAGGGAATTCCAGACTGGAAGTGCACATGTCAGAAATGATTGCATCTACACCTTCTAAACTCAGAAGTCCAAATTATCACCTTTCATGCTGCCATATTCCCAAATCCAGAACTCACACAGCACTCCTATTGACCTCTCTGCTCTTCCTATGTCTGTTCTTCCTCGTCTAATATATGAAGGAACTAGTACATGAAAAGGTCGACCACACCTGCTGATTCGAAGTACCCCAAAGCCTCCTGTGCAGGACCATGGTACATGAGTTTTCCTGAGGCCAATAAGGTGAGGCTGTCAAACAGCTTGAAGATGGTGTAGCGAGGCTGATGAATGGAGAAGATGATTGTTCGTCCACGCTTAGACATCCTAAAAGAGGGAAAATAAAGTATCGTTAAGCATCTAAACCTTGCACTTTTTTTTTTTTTTTTGGTATTGGGGATTGAACTCACGGGCACTCAACCACTGAGCCATATCCTCAGCCCTATTTTGTATTTTATTTAGACAGGGTTTCACCGAGTTGCTAAGTACCTCACTGTTGCTGAGTCTGGCTTTGAACTTGTGATCCTCCTGACTCAGCCTCCCCAGCTGCTGGGATTACTGGCGTGCGCCATGGTGGCTGGACTAAACCTTGCACTTCTTGGTAAAATACTTTTGTTTCTTTCCACTGTTACTTCCATTGATCCCAATTCAACATGATTTTTCTCTTACAAATGTCTCATCTCATCCTATATAACCAACATGTTAGGAGGAAAAATTAAATTCAATTGCTTTCATGAAAAAATAAGGCAGTAGGGAGTGTAGTCCAGTAGTAGAAGTTGTAGTAGTAGTAGAAGTAGTAGAAGTATATATGTTTAACATATAAAAGACCCTGTATTCAATCCTCGGGACAAAATAGAGCAAAACACAAAGTATTTTTTTGGTTTTTGCTTTTGTTTTTTGGTACCAGGGATTGAAACCAGGGCAGGGCTTAATCACTGAGCAATATCCCCAGCCCTTTTAACTTTTTATTTAGAGACAAGGTCTCACTAAATTGCTTAGGGCCTTGCCAAATTGCTGAGGCTGGCTTTGAACTTGTGATCTTCCTGCCTCAGCCTCTCCAGCTGCTGGGATTATAGGTGTGTGCCACTGTGCCTGACCCAAAGTTTTAAAGTATGTTGCATCAACAGTCTGGAAGCCACTAGAATGTTTATTGACAAAGCAGGTTCCTGGACAGTCTTCCCAGACACGAAATTAGAATTTCTGCAGGGGGGAGGGGGGGGAATGGTACTGGCAATCCATATTATTAAAAAGCACCCCCCAGTATCTCTAAGTACACCCAAGTTTGAGAACTCATTATGGACTAAATATTAAAACAATGATTGTACACTCAGTTCTCATTGAACACTTAAGTCTTCTGGCTCTTTAAGAATTGGTTTTTATTATTCTGCCTGATGACACAGCTAACTTACTAAGCACTTGCCACGTCTTTGATAAATGCTTTAGTAATAATCTCGTTTCAATTTCATAATGGTATTATTATAAGGCAGTGCCCATATGATCATTTCCTTCTTTCTATAATCAGGTATAAAGGTCAAGCAACTGGCCCAGGGGTCACAATTACTAAAAGGCAAGGCTAAGATTTGATCTCTGGTCTCATTCCATGGCAAAAACAGAAAGTACCTTTCCAGGGAGTTCTTTCATACAGACAGAGGAAACAAAGGCCAAAACCACTGTTTAAAACTGTCATTTAAAAGGGCTATGAGAAGAATCATTTCAAATTAAGCATTTGGTAAGCGTCAATGCTATGCTAGCGTGGGTCCAATATGCTAGCATACACAAGGGTGTTCTGCCTCAAAGAGAATCAGTACAGAGGATCAGTGATCTCTACAGAATGTGGAATGGAAGTAGCTAAGGGTTCCTTGTACGCAAAACAGGAGACCTATAATCCAGTCTAAAAATAATGTAGGTAAAATATCAAAAGGCTCAACAGGAATGAGTGAAGAAGAAGATAGAAGAGCAAGACAAACGAACACAGTATGAAATAAAAAGATCTATCCAGGGAACTATAAGAAGCTCAATGTTACATAGCAAGGAATGTGCCTGCTAGGTGAAGAAGCTCACTAAAAAGACTATAGCAAAACAGGCCCATGATGAACCCTTCACTCAGAATCTGGGATTTTAGTGGGAAGACCACAGGGAATTGGTAATGAACTCAAAGCAAGAAGTGGAATTGCATGGAAGCCCTGATTCTCAAGTGTGGTGGCACAGTATCAGTATGTCCTCTTAATCTCCTATGGAGAATCTCAGGCTCTACCTGGCACCTAAAGAAACAAAATCTGCATTCTAACCAACTGCAGGTGATGAGCATGCAGAGTAGTGCTTGGGAAGGACTGATTAGAGATCCCTGCATGGGGCAGGGTGCCTGTGTGCTAAGCAGAGCAAATCACAAAACTAGGATATTCTGTACCAATTCATCAGTCTCTAATGAATACCCTTTACACAGCTATAGACAAATGAACATATCATAGATGTTTTCTCTCATGGGCAACTGAAATCTCAGACTTAAGACATCTAAAATCTTATTATTTTCATTTCTTCTCTCTTAGCATAGAGACTTACTCAAGAGAGTGTGAGCAACATAAGTAGCAAGTTAGCGATAGGGAAAGTAATGAAGATGGTGTCTGGAAGCTTAAAAACAAAGGTGAAGAGGTGTCCAGGGGTAGTGGACAAAGGGAGTGGTAAGATCCATTGGGAGACTGGTTCCATTAAACAATTAAATTACTTGTTTGAGTAAGTAAATGAATATTTGAGAAAATGGCAATCTCTCCCTGATGTCACTCACAAACATGGAAATGACAAAAACAAAATAACATGGAGGTTTTAGAATTAAAATATTATCATGAACTCATGTATACATATATTTAACAGTATATGTATTTAATATATATACATCTGTAACTATTGTTTTTCTGTATCTTTACATTGTCTTTCTATAAAAAAGACATATATATATTTATATTCAATATATTTCCAATTGAAATGTAGAAACATGTCTACATTTACACACACACACACACACACATACACACACACACACACACACACGAGTTTCCTAGGTTTGCCTACTAAAGGTCTAGAAGCATGCCACTCCAATAGCAGTGAGCACACTGAGCAACCAGATCATGGGTTCTAACTAACTACCCCAAAAGGAACCAGGATCCGTCCACAAATGGCTGAAAGGAGAAAAGCACAACATGATACAACATGAACATAGAACATCATAGTGATCATAAAGAAAAAAGAAATGCTGAAAGAATGATTAGGGAGAAGTTGAAAGAACACAAAAGTCACACTGAGTTGGCTTCCATTGGCCAAAATCAGGATCAATTTGATCATTAAACAGTGAAGAATAACAGATTCCAACCTATCATATCACACAGAAAATGAATAGGGAAGGAAGAAAACCTCTTCCTTAGATACAATGTCAACAATTACCTGTTAGAGCACAGCAGAGTTATTGGTGTCTGCTAAAATTTGTGGGAGAGATGTTATGAGGGACACAGTCTTGGCATAATAGCTAATTATCTTCCCCAATAAATACCAATATATTACAATGGGAAAAATAATAATTTCCCAGAAGACAGCAACATGATCAGGGAATCAAACTGCACACCACCTGTGATAGGTCAGTCCTAGGTATGTGGCTGACAGCTCAGCATCAGTTCATGCCCAAGTCAGCTCATGGAACACTGGGACAGAACCAGCCAAGGGTCACACCATGAAATGGACTATCAAAGACATGAGAGACAGGGATAGACTGAGGAACTCTTGCATATTAGGAAAACAAAACAAGGAACAGGTAGAAAAGGTGTATGTCTGCAGACTTCTAAAGTAGAAAGAAAACAGACATGCTGCAGGGAGAGCCGGTGACATCTAACTTGAAAGTGAAAGGACTTGATAGCTGTGAAGCCATCATTGCTGACTTCCTCACTGGGAGGCTGATATGGTGGAGTGTACTTGTCTCTTGGATTTTACACTGGGGAGTGTTAAGAGGAGGCAGAGCATGATGCCAGAAAACAATTATGTAGAGGGAGCAGAGATGGAGGGAGGGCAGCAAATGCAAGAAAATGTAGCAGTTGGGGAGTCTAGGTGGGAGGCATGGGATTTTCTTTGCACTATTCTTAGAGCCTTCCTGTCAGTTTGAAATTATTTTCTATTCATTTTGAAGAATATTTCTAGCTAGGTGCAGGTGTTCCCCTGAAACCTCAGCAACTTGAAAGGCGGAGGCAGAAGGTTAACATGTTCCAGGCCAGCCTCAGCCATTCAGTTGAGGCACTAAGCAACTTAATGAGACACTGTCTCAAAATAAAAAAATAAAAAGGGCTGAGGATATAGCTCAGGGGTAAAGTGCCCTTGGGTTCAATTGCCATTACCAAGGGGTAAAAAAGAAAAGAATATGTCCCAAATTTAACTTTTAGCACTGCTCCTGTAAATGTTTTTCCACAGTCTCCTTTCTAGATAAAAGGAAATGTGGGCTGGGGATGTGGCTCAAGTGGTAGTGCACTCGCCTGGCATGTGTGCGGCGCGGGTTCGATCCTCAGCACCACATACAAACAAAGATGGTATGTCCGCTGAAAACTAAAAAATAAATATTTAAAAAAATTCTCTCTCTCTCTCTCTTAAAAAAAAAAAAAAAAAAGGTAATGCCATCTCTTTAATTTCTTTCTTCCATTTGTTCCAGCCCCAAATCCCAGGAGTCATTCCTCACACGCTAGCTCTACTTCCTGAACACCACCTCACCATGAACATCCTAATCCAGGCCCTGTCCTGCCTTAGCAGCTCCTTCCTACTGCCCTTCACTCACCCAGTGGCCAACTATTCAGCCCTCCCCACACCATCACTCTGTTCTGACACTCACAAAATGCTCCCAAATCCCCAAGTGACAAAAGAAGCCATATTTCTTAGAGTGGCCTCTGAGCTCTGTGTAACCTGCCACCAGGTTCCACCTCACATTATATTCTAACTGTTATGGGCTGAACTGTGGCTTCCGCAAAACCTGTAACCTCGGAATGTGGCCAGTGAGTCTTCAAAGAGGTCAGTAAGATGAAATGAGGTCATTGAGGTTCCTCATCTGACTGTGTCCAGTTAAAAAGAGATTAGGACACAGACACAGAGGGAGAAGATGGTCATCTAGAAGCCAATAAGAAAGGCCTCAAAAGAAACAACCCTGTGAATACCCTGATCTCAACTTCTAGCCTCCAGAGCTGGAAGAAAAGTCATTTCTGTTGTTGAGCCTCCAGTCTGTGGTCTTGTTAACAACTATACAGCAGGCAACTTCCTCTCCAATTAGTCACTGGGTTCTGGTCTTTCTGATGTTCCACACGCATAAGGCATGCTATGCCTTGGGGCCACTGACCACTCCCTCCAACCAGAACTCTTCTGCAGATACAGCAGGTCTCACTACCTCTCTCTCATTCATCACAGGTCATGTGCTTGTGGTCTTTCCTGTTGCTACTTAAAAGAGCTCCACGTGCCCACCACTGCCATCATTCCTTAAGCTCTTATTTCATCTTTCTTAATAACACTACTTTGTTCATTGACTAACTTCCCTCTAACAAAGACGGAAAAAATTCTGCTGTTCATTTCCGAATCCTCTTCACCAAGAATACCTGCTACATAGAAGTGATTAGATATTAAATAAATGAAAGAACAGTGTTCCCATAGCATATACCTTTTTAGGAGCAAAAGGACAGCATTTGCTGTGCTCGAGTCTAAACCAGTTGTGGGCTCATCCAGAAACAAGATGGAAGGATCAGTAATCAGCTCCATTGCTATACTGGTCCTTTTTCTTTCTCCTCCGGAGACTCCACGGATAAATTGAGTTCCAACCTAAAACACAGATTATCGCCATTATTAATAAGAATAACCATGGTCACTACCATTTGATGAACTAATTTGTGCCAGCCCTACTAGAGACACTTTATCCCATTATCCTCATTAATCTGGACAGCAAGTATGTGGACACCTGGTAGATGGAATAGGCTGCTGAGTAAACTAAGGCTCAGGGCAGAGCTGCTAGATGCAACATGAAGCCCATTCTCTGAATATTCCTCATCATGTCAAATATTTAGTTTTAAGCCAATAAGTTAGAACACTAAAAATATGACCCTGACATAGTAATATCACAGTTTAAAACAGGAGATAAAGATAGGAGAGGAAAAGGGAAAGCATCGCCAGTATTTTATTGTCTTTTAACAACGCCCACACACACTGCCTCCACCTAAAGTCTCCAAAAACAGAGCAGGCTTGGACACAGGAAAGTTCACTTTTTACCATACCACATGAGCACTTTTTCAAATTCCGTAACACTCTCCAAATGGATATTGTCTATACCTTAAACCACCAGAGAATTCCTGATTCATCATTTAGACAAATCCAGAAGGCATATTCCACAGGGCAACTAGCTCCATCTTTTCAACAAGAAAATGTTTAGGAAGGGGAGTATGAAGGTTTGGAAGACAGCAAGTAGAAAACAATTCTGAAATTAAGAGTCTCCAAAGAGATAATAATCAAGTGCTATCATGGCCCTGGACTGAGTCCTATTAACTGAACTAAAAAAGACATTTTGACAATTTGAGGAACGTGAATGAATATGGGCTTAACATAGCTGATGATATGAAGATACTGTTCATTCTGTTAGTTGATAATGGCATTGTGGTAAGGTCAGGAAATGTCCTTTTTGAATTATTTTTCTTTTGGTTTGTTGTTTTGGTTATCATCGGGAAAGAACCCAGAGTCTCGCATGTTATAAGAACACATAACACCCCTGAGCTACACCTCCAACCTCATATTCTTACAGATGCATAAATAGTATCCAAGGACAAAATATTATATAAATAACTTTCTTTAAAATACCTCAGTAAGAAATAGCTGTAGATGCACCAATTAAAAAAAGAAAAGAGAAATGGTTGTAGAAATGATGGGGTAAAATATTAAGAGAGAAATCTAGGTGAAAAATATTAGTAATTAAACTATAGTATCAATCATCTTACAATATGTCATTATAGTAATCAGACTATTTTCTCTATATTTCTGTTACATATAAAATTCCATAAAAAGTCAAAAATTTTGATCAACAGGATTACAGGAATTCTAAGAAGTCAACAGCTGGCTTTATATATGGCCTGGAAATCTAAACAAGCAAGTTCAGGCAGTGAGTGCTTAAAGATTAAGAACAGGCCTGGGGGTGCAGCTCAAGGGTAGAGCACTTGCCTAGCATAAGAGTCCTGGCATGCACTGAGAAAAATAAAATGGTAACAGAGTAAAAGAAAGTGCCTAACTGGAATGACAAAAATCAAATAAATAGAGAGAAAGCAAAGAAAATATCACTCGGGGTGGGGGAGTGGTAAATGATGGCATCACAGGATTATTCTTCCAAACAAAATATACTTTACATAAAGATTGCAAGAAAGTATAGGAAGCAGTGGGGGTGGGGAGGAGGGTGTCTTCCCAATGTCCAAGAAGATGACAGGGGTTCAGTATAGCTGTACATTCTAAACGGCTCCTAATCCCCCAAAATGCCAAATATCTGCACAGTAAAGCTTCCTTACTGACTAGTCAACTGTAAAGTTCACTTGTTCCTCTCATTTTCTCATCTTGATCCTGCACAACTCACCAAAGGGGGAGTTATTCTATCCATTCTTTGTTACTTCTGACCACAACTGTACCTCTCAAACCTAAAAGAGTCTGGCATGTAAGAGTGTGGAAATAAATAATGGCAACAGAAAGGGAAGAAGAGAGAAAGGGAAGGAGGGGATGAGAGGAAAAAAACTGCCAAAGAAATGCTATAGAAAAATACCTTGGTCACTACACAAATGATAAATCCTAATGTGACTGAATATAGTTTTGAAAACCAAATTATACCAAAGTGGGATAGCAGTAACCCTTGGATTCTCATCATTTATCAATTCCAAAAATATACCTCAAAAAAGTAATGGAACAAAGTCCCCCGGAGGAAGAGAGGGAGAAGAACAGCTAAAAGAGGGAAGAGAAAAACAGGAAGAAAAAAGTTAGTGCAAAGGCATCAAATGAGCCATGGCTTGACAATGAGGGTGAAGGCCCATGGAGAAGGGACACTCTCCACACAGGCCACATTCCATCCGGGGACACTCTCCACACAGGCCACATTCCATCCCGGGATCCAACCATCATTAAAATAGTTTCTCCACTTAATTTCCCCATGTATTGTCACCATTCTCAGCATTACAGAAAGCAGCCACTGTTGACCACACACACTTTAGAAAACTATTGATTCAGGTCACATGGTCCACACAGGGAGGTCCTCTTTCCTACCTATGACTCTATCAGGTTTTTTCACATTACCTTGGAATCTGCCACTTTACTCAGACCTAACTCTTCAATGACCTTGTTGATCCTCTCATTTTTCTCATGATTTGTCGTAGTTGTTGGAAGCCGAAGAGCCGCTGAGAATTGCAAGTTTTCTCTCACTGTCAGGGTGCCCATCACAATATCATCCTGAAGGGAAAAATAGGATTTCAATGAAACTTTTCTACGACGTTGAGTCTTTTCTAAAACCATCACTCTAGTGTATTTAACTTAATCCATAAAAAACAATATAACCAAGATAAGTTCTAGCTAACGGTGAACATTCAACTCTACAAACTTCAGTGACTCTACATACAGACAGCCTCAGCTCCCACAGGAAACATTTTTGTGCTTCCTCTGTACACCCAGATGAAGCAGGGTGATCATGATGACGATAACCAGACACTTCCTGACTGCTTTGTAAGAGGATGTGACAAACTCGTCTTCTAGGAGAAAAATGTGCAAGAAGAGCAAAAAGGACAACAGTAGACTCTTTAAGAAATGGTAAAACTGGTAGACTTCATGGCACTGCACTACAGGGATCCTATTCCAGGTACTCTCTGCCTTTCCATTTAATCCCACCCCAAATCTTAAGAAGGCTGGTTCCATGACAATTGGTTCCATGTTATATAATCAACTGGAAGCCCACTACACTATAAGGCATTTACCCATACAGAAACACAGGGACCACAACAGGTGAAATCACTAATACTTACTTGTACCACATAACCTGAATTACATTTGAAATTGGCAGGTTGAGGAGCTCCATTTATCAAAACATCTCCAGATAATCCATGTGGATCTTTCCTTGCAGCTAAAACATCTAGCAATCTGTAAAAGGACATAATGTCGTAATTTTTCCCCCTCAAAAAAAAAAAGGTCATATCTCTCTGCTACTTTGAATCCAAATTCGACTCAAGTTAAAAAGTTAACTAGTCAAAATCTATGATTTAACCCAAATAATTCATTTATATGTATTTAAAGCACACACACCTGTAGATATGTGTTTATATTTATTCAAATTCTCACCTTCCTTTTCATTATATAATAAGAAAGCTCAAAAATATAACAGGAAAACAACATTGGCTTATCTAGCATTAACCTCCCAAATGGCCTCTGATAGACTGACCTTGGTGGTCCCAACCCAGAAAATATGCTTCTTTTCCTGAGATTCATATCTTCAATTACACCTTCTGCTCCATCTCCCCTTCTTATTCCTTCCCATTAGGGCATAATATGGCCCACTGCTGTATGTCAACCACTTCATCATGCCATATTAATAAACCTGAGCTAATAAGACTTCATTGGGAAAAACCATAAGCTAGCCTAACTATATGTTATCCACAGAACCTAAGAACCAGACTAGGCATACACAGCAAATGCTTAATACCCACATAAAAGTGATTTTTTAAAGCACACTAAAATTTCACAAAATATGTCTACTTAAACTTTCTGTTATACTTACGAAGATTTGCCTCCACCCGTGGGTCCCAGAATGGCATTAAGACCAGGTTTCATGATCCCACTGTAAACACAGAAACATACTGAATTACTGTTCCACTTTAAACAAAGTTCTACTAGTTTGTGGTCTACATGGAATGCACTCAATGAAATGTGATGAAACTGCAGACTGAAAACAAGCACTGATTCAAAGAGAAAAAAAAATGAATTGATGGTTTATTAATAGAAGCCTAGTATGTGGAGGATGTCAATCACTGGTCAGGATCAATAATAAAGATGGCTCTGGTCTCTAAACATTCCTTTGATCCATTCATCCCTTTTGGAAAATGATATATCTAATGTTCAAGAATCCTTGAAATTAGCCTGGAAAACAGCTCAGTGGAAGAGCCAGTGCTTAGCATTCGGGAGCCCTGGGTTCCATCCCCAGAAAGAACAACAAAAATCTCTTGAAATAAGAAACAGAGTTTCATGAAGCCTCCCCTTAACACACTGTAAAACACATGACAGCTTCTGAGAAATGTCTGATGATTAGTATCTTCAAACAGCCTCACCTGCAACCTAGTCAAGTTAAGTAATCACAGATTGGTAGAATATCAGTAGTACTGCTTGCGCGACTAAAATCTAATCAGACCAAAAAACATCTAAAGTAGAAATCCAAAGGCTAGAAGGAAGCATTCCAGAGGATAAGAAAGTATCACCAGTGCTTAAAACAAGAAAAACATCACCAGTTAGAAAAAGAGAAATGTGCATAGTAAAATTAGATAATTCCCTTCCTTGTTAAGTGTCCAAGAGAGGACAGGAAAATGATCAGTTTACAATTGGTAGACATCACTCCAGTAAGGGATGTCCTCTAGGATGTGCAGGCCCAGAACAGACATCAATGTTTCAAACAAAATAGATGGATGTGTGAGAGTAGTGAATATACACACAGAGCAGAAAGGCGGAAAAAACATAGCAGAACTACTGCAGGTACATGGGCATGAAGAAATAGAGGCCACACTTGGTTCATTCACAACCTTAGTATCTACACCCAGTCTATCTTTAGGATTTGTAAATAGATCCAGATATATTCCACAGAGTATCAAGTCCAAGAGCAAGATCAAAGCTGACAACAATTCATTCTCAGATTAATAATTCCCAAGAGGTCAATCCTACAATTACACAACTGTCATGAGTAATGAACTTCCCAATGCAACTTCCTCATGGCTCTTACATCCAAGAGGACCTCAGCATTCACAGCCTGTGACACCTGATCTATTTCATAACTGTACCATAGTCATTGGGAAGTGAGGTGAAATGTACCTTTCACTTTGCTCACTAACTGAGGAACCTCTCACTCAAATATCAGACGAAGACAGTGAGAAGCTGGTAAACCTGGAATAAACCATGACAGAAAAATCTCTTATTCTTCTAATGACGTTTCCCCGATTCAGTGCAAAAACACACTCAGGATAGGGTTAACTTTCAAGGTGCATTTATCTTTAGTACTGGTGCATCTTCTTAATTAATAGCTACCAAGGACCTACTTATGAAATGACCAGAAACAAGCTTGTGATTCACTCAGGTTTTACTGCCAGAAAAGCCTTCCACATTTTTTAAATACCTACTCAAGGGAGGGAAAATGGAGGATCATGTTCCAAAATTGAATTCCATGCATGTATGAGTTTTTCAGGATGAACCCAACTGCTATGTATAACTATAAAACTCTACTAAAAATAAAACACCTATTCAAGTAAGGCAGATATTTTATATAAAGTAAACCAAGCCATCCTGAATGATTCTACCACAAACTTAATGTGCATGTATTAAGACAAAGAATTTTACAGTTTCCTGTATTTGGCTTATTTTGACAGAAAATAACAAAAATATATGATCACAAACGCAAGAGGTCCAATCTGGAGCAGTGGCCGATTCTACCCCCATCTTCTTAGCACAATTATTAAATGTCTATTATGTAGGTACAAGACACTTCCAGATCTAGGGATGTAGTCCAGTGATTAAGAGTACTTGCCTAGCAAGTAGGAGCCCCAGGGTTCAATCTCCAGCATGGGAGAGAGCCCAGAACAAAACAAGCAGATAAACAAGCGAAAAAACAAAACCCTAGCCCTCCTGGAGTTTACATTCCAGTCCAGGGATCAGCACAGTGTAGCTGGTTGTTCTCTGTTTTCAAAAACAATATAATTGGAACAGAGCCATGTTATTTTGGTTGTGCAGCGTATAGCAGTTTTTGTGCTACAAACGAACCATAAAAATTGAAGAATTTATGATCTGGTCCTTTACAAGAAGAGTCTGCTGATTCCTGTTCTAGCCTATGGTCCACAATTCCCTGGTCTCCCCACCCTCCCCTCCACCCTTCTATCATCTCTCACAAGCCACTGCCCTCTTATTTATTGCTTTACAGCATTTCTGTGCAAAGTACTGTGTCATTACACTGTCAAACCTTGCCAACAAGAACTTATCATAATGTTGCCACCTACATCTCCTTCCCTCCCCCATTACATAAAACACACTGGAAAAAAAAGCATACAAAACTTACCTTAAGGACTTTTGTCACATCTGTTACATTATAGTGGACAATGGTCAACCCTTTGGTCTTGTTTTGTTTATAGATAAGAAAGGTCATTTCCATTCTTAGAGCATGGCCTACCTCCCTGCACACAAACAACATATTCACTTTTGAAACTCCATGTACCCAGTTCTACAATTTAGGATCAGGGGTTCACAGGTATCTTTTAATCTTTCCATTACAACAGAATGTAGTATTAGTGCTCTAGTTTTCTGAATTCCCCATTAGACCAAAAGGTTTCTGAGAACAGACATATCTGTATTACCAGTCCTTTTGCACAACTAGGCAGATGTTTTTTTAACAAAATTGTAGATATATGTATATGTACATGTGTATCTGTACATGCACACATATATTCCATAGGTCAGTCTGTCAAGAAGGCCTAGAAGCAATGACATCTCAAAAGCAGTTAGCATTCAAATCACCCCGATACTGGTTTGTAAATACCGTCCTCTACAAAAATGAACTTTAGGTGACTCCAGATTAGTCAAGGCAGGCATAAAATGAGTCTAGAATTTCTTGCTGTGCCAAGGAAATATCAAAATATGAAGAGATAAGTTGAAATAATGAGAGATGAAGAGAGGAACCCACCTTGTCAGATCTCCCACTGACTAATCAGGAGTGTTAGTAGCATCAACATAATGAATAATAATCATGCATTACAACTGAATACTATTGAAGAAAGTATAAAACCATAAGTCTCTACAGTAATTGAAAGAAGAGAAAATGAATGAAGGTTTTTCTTATTAGTAGAAATTCAAACAATAAGATGACGTAATTAGAAAACCACCCTTTGGCAACTGTCATAGTGGTAGCTGTCTGGATCAGTCATCAACATGGGCTGCAGTGAGTGAGTTAAGTTTAAAGAGGAACAGGATTCCAAAATAATGTCAAAACATCTCCCCTCAAAATACTAATCAAGTACAAAGAGGAAAAAAGGAACATTATGGTGAACTTGGCAGACAGCAATCTGACCAGATGATCAATTTTAATAATACCTGGAATGAGATGGGACTAGGAAACACCAGGCTGGACAAGACTGAATGGACAAAATGTGGTGGTCAGTCAACTACATGAGGACCACAGGTGGGTGATGAGGGGCACTCAACCCCTCCTGCCTTCTTTTTGAGACTACACTTCCCCTTGGATGCTGCCAGACAAAAACTGAGTGATCATACAGGAGAGGGCCTTCTTTCTGGAAAGTAATGCTGAAGGAGCTAGGGATAGAGGGGCATAGTGTGGACCGTCTCCTCTCAAATGGTTCCCAAAAACCAGTTATGACAACTGACACAAAAAAAAGCCACAGTAACAGGAGCAAATGCAGTGAAATATTGATAGGGAATCTGGGTGAAAAGGTTATGTTCATATGGGTTTAAATTTGAAATTTTTTCAAAGTAAATTATTAATAGGGAAAACTCTCTAAGAGGGTCATGAATGTCCCTCGTGATTATAGGATATCTGCACATCACTGGAACAGATAATTTTTTTAAAATAAATCTTTAGCATTGGTGAGGGAAAGCTCAAGTATGGGTATGGAGACAAAGTAACCATAAGAGAGTTTTCTTAAGGTAGGAAAATTTTTTTAATTCTCATGCTTAAATTTTATTCTATCTTCTTCTGACAAAGCAAAAGGAAGAATAAAAATTTTAAAGTCAATACTGGCATTAACTTTTTGGAATATAGTTAATAATGTAAATGGTGATGATACTATCAAACACAAATCAAAACTAAGAAAATGAGAACAGGAGCTGGGGATATAGCTCAGTTGGTAGAGTACTTGCCTCACATACACAAGACCGTGGGTTCAATCCCCAGCACCCCTCCACACACACACAAGAAAAAAAAAAAAAAAAAGAAAGAAAGAAAGAAAATGAGAGTAACTCTTCACATACCCTAGAGACTATCATTTGAAGCCAGCAGACAGGGGAAAAACTGAAAATACTGCAGCCAAAAAAGGATAACCTTTCTCATGGATCCCTAAACCAAAAATGTGAGTAAGCAAGAATATCAATCCTTACTATCCTTTTAACTGTTAATATTGAAAGAACTGCAAGATTTGACTGCAATTTTATAAGCCTAGGAAAACATAAGAGGATGACCTCCTCCTTTGCTGAAATGCACAACATGGAGTCATAAAATGTTGTGAAGCTTTGAGTGCATGAGATATTTAGAGTATCAAGTCACTAATTTACTAGCTTGAAAAGATAAGCAAGAGGAGCTGTAAGTGTGGCTCAGTGTGGAACACTTGCCTGGCACATGCAAAGTCGTGGGTTCAATCTCCAACTACCTCTCCCCCCCACCGCCCCCCCACACACACACACATGTATAATCTATATCTCTATTCAGAGCTCTCTCTCTCTCTCACCCTCTCTCTCGTTACCGCAGGGATCCCTGGCACCAAAAAAAAGCAAGGTAAATGTATCTTCACACCCTGTGCTTTTACATCTGTTCAAACTACACATATTCAAATCTCTTTACCTTCTAGCACTTTCAGCACAAAATCTAAAGGAAGCAACATTTTCTTGATTGTCTTTCACAAAAGGCTTGTGAGCTTTCCAAAAGTGAATTCTATCTAACTATGTAGCAAAAGATCAAAGCCTTCCACCCACCATTCCTCTCCTTATGCTCTGGTCAGAATTTCTTAACCAACACAAGGAAGAGACAAAAACAGCAGGCGTGGCCGCATGGAGAGAGTTCTCACCCTGCACAGCGCCCCTGGTCTCAATCCAGTCAACCCTCAGATATTTACCATTTCTCTCCTCACACCCCCAAATTTTCTACCCTAGCTTGCCACTTTCTTGCCCTCTGAAGGAGCTGGTGTTTATTAAAAGAAAACACCACAGTCACAGAGAAACATCAGGATAAAAGGACAAACCTCTGGGGCTGGGGTTGTAGCTCAGTGGTAGAGTGCTTGCCTAGCACGTGTGAGGCCCCAGTTTGGATACTCAGCACCACATAGAGATAAATAAATAAAATAAAGGTATTAAATCCATCTGCAACTAAAAAAAAAAAAAAATGCCAAACCTCTGATTCCCATAGAGGTCTGCAGCCACTTGGAGGTCAAAGCACTCTTTATTACCCCACCCAGCTTTGGAGAGTCAGGGGAAATTGCTTGCTTCCTCTATCAGTAATTATTGCCCCTATTAAACTAACTAAACACAGAGATTATGCTGACTTAGCAAACTCAAATTCCTATCACCATAGCTGGAAAGCATAATTTTCTAGAAATCAGAAAGACATTGACACCCCTAATGGCCAGCATCTGTGAACTCATAGAGGTACCTGGTAGTGAGTAGATTCCATAGAAACACTCATTTCCCTCCCACTCTTCAACACCAGACTCAGAATTCTGAATTCATTGCTGAATGAAAACCGTAATTGCTGGGCCCTTTTAAAACAGAAATTAACTTCACTGATTTTAATCCTAAATTATTACCACTTTGCACTTTAACTTCATAACTTCAATTAAAATCATAGTTGTTTTATATTTAAATATTTTCTATCTGACAATTTTGTGGAAAGTATTGGGCAAGTCATTATAGACTATTTACTACTATAAACAGGCCATTCATTTAAAAGAGATCTATTTGCAAAGCATTTTCATGATACTCTCACTTCAACCTCCTTGCTACTAGAATAAAAAGTACATAAAATGCACAAGTACCTAAGAAAGTGCTACTCAGAAAGTACTACTTCACTGATTGGACTAAAGTGCCAAAGTTATAATTATATCCCCACAATCAAGAAGTAGTAAACCATACATCTAGGCCTCTTTCCATCAAAACCCAAGACTTATATAGGAAAAGCTAAAAAACACATTAATGGTTTAGTTTCTCAAACAAAACTCCATGCACGTGGGATAACCATTTTTACAGCTTGTCAGTTCCTTTCAAAATCAAACATATCCGTAACAAGTGATCCAATCATTTCAGCCCTAGTTTAACCAAAAGAAAATGTGTCAATATGCCTAAACAAAGACTTATACGCAAAGGCTCACAGCAGCTTACTGGTAATAGGCAAGACCTGTGAGGTTCATTACAGGTCCATAAAAATGGTCTTTTAAAAAACTCAAGCACTGGAGCTGGGATTATGGCTCAGCAGTAGAGGGGGGAGGGGGGGCCCGGGTTAGATCCTCAGCACCACATAAAAATAAAGGCATTGTGTTGTGTCCGTCTACACCTAAAAATTAATAAATAAATAACTGAAAAAAGCTTAAGCACATACTTGATATTGGATAGTATTTCTTTCTCAACTGTTTTCCGACCAAAGAGAAAGCCACTCTTCACTTTTACTCGATAGCAGATGTTATGAAAACTCAACACAGCCCCCTCAGTAAATGTCTTCAGGTCACTGGAGGTCATCCCAGGCAGGCCATTGGTATTTCTTTGTGACATTGGGATACAAATCTGATCATCATTGGAAGTCATCTGGAGAGTTTCTGCCTTTCTGTGGAGAGAAAAGCAATGTTGACAGTTCAGATAAATGAGATTGTAAACCCTAGATAACAATAGCTTAAACCAAGTCTGTTTTAAACTGTGCTGCAGTTGAGTAGATTCCTTTAATGAACAGCCCACATCACTGTGATAAGAACAACCTTAGAATTTATAATGGGAGGGAGACACAAGTTTGAAAACCTACACTCCAATTAGATGTCAATTAAATTCCTCATAAGTAAATAGTATGGAAATTATTTTAAACTCATAAGGTAGGAAAACACAGATAAGATTTGGGTGGCTTGAAAAGCACATTATGATTTCAGTTCAGGGACAGCTTGCATGATCTCTAGCATACATCCTCAGGGTTTTTTGGTTTTGTTTTTGGAGTTTGTAACACTACTACCAAAAAGGGCTTAGCCAAGCAGTCTAGTACAGGAAATTTTTCTCTGAATTTATAGTCTTGTACTTCACATCTCTGATTTTTATGCACCTTCATTCAGTAAAGAATGTAAACTCTAACACTGTTTGCAATGATATCATTTCTTTAATGGGCAAACATTTAAATTCTAGGAAGATTTAAGTGTGAAAATGATTTAAGAAAACCAAACCAATGGTATGATATCATTTCTTTAATGGGCAAACATTTAAATTCTAGGAAGATTTAAGTGTGAAAATGATTTAAGAAAACCAAACCAATGGTTAAGCATCTAAAGCAAAACCGAATACTATGTGTGATTGAAGTATAAAATGTTGCATTAAACAAGTGACAAAGGTCCCTTAAACAGATTTAATTAGAGTAAACCCTTAAGTTGAACTGAACTTGTGAAAGAGGTTCAAAATGCTAACTTCAATAATCCTACTTTTCTTTTTGAAAAGCCAAAATCATCCATGAAGAACTTTCTCTTTGCCTAAGGTAGAGTAGCTGCTCTAAACTAATCATCCTCCTTAGAACAACCAGAAACATAGACAAAAGATGACAAGCAGCTGTGTACAGGGCTCTGGTGAGAGCAACCAAAAGCAGCCAGGACATGAGGGATCCAAAAGGATCAAGGAGGCACTGGTGCAAGTCCAGCAGCCCACCAATTGTCCACACAAGGGGCAGCACTGAGGACAAGCAGGCAGAAAGAAGCTGCTAGAGGCATCTTCCAGAAGCCCCTAATGTATCAGATCAAATTGCTCAGCAGTCTCTTGCAAGAAAGATCTAATTAAAATTAATTCATTTTTTAAAAAGAAACTAAGCAATAAATATTGAAATTAAAATTTAAGTAAAGAAGAAAAAGAAAGAAACAAAATTTGGACTTGCAGGCCAGCAAAGACAAGGACCACTGAAAACCCCAAGCTTTCGAGATCCCAGAAGCATTAGGACCTAGGAATATGGAAAAACAAGAGAGACCAGACTCTGCTCTATCAAAGTGGTCTGCTCAGACTTTGCTAGAAGTTAAATCCATTCTCAAAGAAGCTATCATCATCCACATTTTCAATCCAAAAAATAGGATCCAAAGTTTCAAAAACAGAAAAAATAGAGGTAGACCCACAGATAATATATTTAAGAAAATAAATGAAAAAAATAAAAAAACTGTCACCAAAGAACCACAATCTGCTTTTAAAAAATTTAAAAATCGTTTGGTGTAGTGGCGCAGGCTTGTAACCCCAGCACTTGGGAAGCTGAGGCAAGAAGACTGTGAGTTCAAAGCCAGCCTCTGCAAGAAGCGAGGTGCTAAGCAATTCAGTGAGACCCTGTCTCTAAATAAAATTCAAAATAGGGTTGGGATGTGGTTCAGTGGTCAAGTGCCCCTTAGTTCAATCCCAGTACCCACACTCCCCGGCAAAAAAAATAATAATAATAATAATCAAAACTAAGAAGTCAAGCAGGTCATGGTGGCACACACCTACTACCCCAGTGATAACAGAGGCTGAGGCAGGATGATCATGAGTTTAAGGCCAGCCTGGGCAATACAGGAAGACTTTGTGTTTTCTAAGAAAAAGAAGGGGCTTGGGGCGTAGCTCAGTGGTAGGATACATGCTTGAAGCCCTGATTTGATCCTCAGAACTGGGGGGAAAAAATTAAGAATTTAACAGATGAGGGGCTGGGGTTGTAGCTCAGTGGTAGAGTGCTTGCCTAGCACATGTAAGGCACTGGGTTCAATCCACAGCAGACACAAAAATAAATAAAATAAGGGTACTATGTCCATCTGTAACTTAAAAAAAAAAGAATTTAATAGATGAGTGAAAATTAATGAATCAAAAGGCTAGTATCAAGAAAACATCTAGGAAGAAAATTATTAATGATGAAAATTATCACCATGGTGTGGGGGAGAAGCTCCTGATTGAAAAAGGTTCAGCATACATGTAATTAGAGACTGGGAGAGGGAGAAAATGGAGTAGAATCAATGTTCCCAGATATACTGGCCAAGTATTTTAAAAATTAAAAAAGGCATTAAGCCACTGATTGAAAAAGCTCTAGGGAACAGGTGCTTAGTTTCTATGAGAGTTTTAACAATCTTCCTCAGAAAGATGCGGGCCTTCATAACACAGGTCCAAAAAAAATGAGTAGACAGGTCTAACCACAGCCCAACATCCAGCTCACATGTGTAATACCATGAAAAAAAAATGTAAACATACTGCATTTCTAACATTAATATGATAAAAGTTATTTCACTAGGATGAAATTTTTAAAAAAAATACAGTAAGGTAAAGAAAACACACCACCTCAGCTCCACAGAGTACCCAATCTCTAGTTAATTCCGCATACAAGGTTTAGGTGACTCCAGAAAAAAAAAAGTAACTGATTTCAAGTATATTTCTCTGTGGTCAGCACTGGTCTCCCCCCCACACACACTCCCACCCCTGAACAGCTCTCATGGGATTAGTCTTTTTATGTAAAGAAAAACACTCACCACATCTAGACCTCCCTGTGTCACATCAGCCTCCCAATTTGTTTCTGTTTCCCAGCTTCCAGAGTTCCCATGAATGCCAACAGGATTTTACTCACCTCTATGTCCTAGACCTACTGCAGAGATCTTCAGTGTTTAGATAAAAACATCCAAATGATCTCACAACCCACCTGCACCCAATACTCTGAGCTGATTATACATCCAGCCAATTTGCAAAGGTTCTTCCCCAGTGATCTGGGAGCTTCCCTTTTCTAGCTTTCCTTTTCTGGGGATCTACTTACAACACCCTCTCCTTCATGTTGCCTTCTAATTTGTGAGACCATACTTAGTTTTTTTGAAACATTGAACCTTTTTTCTTCACTATATACTACTATAACTATTATTATGATAATCTGCATTAAAATGCCAATTCTCTCTAACCAAAACTCAGTTTTCATGCAACAAAGATTGTATATAGATCAGAAAAGTACACAGGCAAATACTAAGTCTTCAGCTGGACAACTGCCCAGTTATAACCACTGCATCTGTTGGTAGGAAGGAGAGCAGCCTCAGACAAAGAGATCAAGGCCTTCCCTTACATTTTTCCCACTAGGGATGATTCTAGAATGGGGAGATTTGCACTCTGCCTCATAGTATTAGGGCTGCTGCTTAAACAAATATCTCCTTAAACCATGGATTAAGATTACTGCCAACAGATCCTGAAAAGGAGTTAGAATGCCTCGCCTGACTTACTGTCAGGTGATGGCTTCAATTTAAAAATGAAAAGGAACAATTAAGGGCTGGGGATGTGGCTCAGTGATAAAGTGCTTACCTGGCATGCATGAGGCCCTGGGTTCATAATCCCCAAGCACCAAAGAAAAGGAAAAATTAAAATAGGAAATTTAATTTTCAAAAAATTATCCCTTGCATTTAAAATCCCTTCTATTGATTGATGGGTTTAATGTTGGCTCTCATTTAAAGGATCCAGCGTAAGGCACCCAGTGTTGTCTCTATAGTCCAAGGCTGCTGGATTAATATAGTTTTGAAATCAGCCCACTAAGGTGCTCTAGGACCCCACATCATTGTAGTAGTGATCTGGAGGACATGGACAGTTTCATACAGATTGGAAGCAACCCCAAGGAAGATACATCTGCTCAGTGAGAAGCCCTCAAGCCTTTTAATCAGGAATGGCTCACCATACCAATTATGTTTTTAAAAGAATACACTCAGAGCTCCTGGAATCCTTATTTATCTCTGTATATCTCAGCACAGCACCAGACACAACACTAAGAAACTATAAAACACAAGATCAGGTTTCTCAGACACACCCCTGAGGATGCAGGAACATACAGTGCAGCACTCTTCCCCTGCCCCACAAGAAGGTGGGATGGATGTGGGGAAGGGCAGAGCTCCAGCAGGGGAAGGACCTCCCAAGAGCCATTTGCTAGAGGATGCCAGACATTTAACCTGATGCTCAGGATGCTCTCCACCAAACTACTCTCTGACTCTAAGAATTCTTACTAGTTTTAACCAATCCCAAACAACCCCATTTCCCCAGCTCCCCTAGCCCACCAAATCTGGAGAAAACAAGGCAAGAATAAATAATGGTTTCCTTGAGAACCACAGAAACTGGAGAAAGGCTTACTGATATTTACAGGGGAACTGACTCAGAAGTTCCTATGAATTTAAATAACAGGAGTAGCAAACAGGATTTGAAAGGGAATAGGGATAGGGTGGGGGACAGGGATCGGGGAGAAAGGTGGGCAGAGGTCCAGGAGAGTCACCACCCTTTCTCTTTTCCTTCACAAGGCTATCCCACCAAACTGGCACTGTGGGAAGAAGAGCAGCAAGGAGAGAGAGGTGATTAGAGAACTCCAGGATCCTGAGGTGCCAAGGAGAAAATAAGAGGAACCAGCAAATGTCAAGCCGAGTCTGAGTTGGAATTTGCCAGAAGCTACACAGCACAGGGTCTACAACCCAGTCCTTCCACAAGAGTCTAATATGTGTCTAATAGATGTCTATACCTTAAGGTCAGTATTCTTCTTCCCTTCCGGTTTTTAATTCAATCAATAATCATAACCACAGCCAGACATAAAATGAACAGGAAATGAGAGGTGGACGGCAGCACCACTTCTCAAAATTCTGATGTATTTTAGAACATAACCTAACATACAGAGGTACAAAGTGCGTGCGCGCGCGCGCGCGTGTGTGTGTGTGTGTGTGCGCGTGTGTACACAACACAAAACTGTAGCAGAGCTCATAATTATCGCAAGGGACACTCTAATCCATGAGTACAGGCACATTCTCAAACCAAATAATGTCTCATTATGTGTGTAGTACTACTATCATTGCTAGTATGACTAACACCATTGCTAATATGACTAAAATATATAAAGATCTGAAATTTAACTGAACTCATTTACCACTGTGAACTGAACACACAGTGAACTGACTCAGCACACAGTAAAATTGTAACTCAAATAGAAGAGTGTCCCAAAGGTTCTGGTCATTAAGGGATACTCTCAGTTTGCAAAAGCATGACAAACAAAAATATTGTCTAAAACCTTTATTTTTAGAATGAGGAAGCAGGCTGAAAGACTGGCCCCAAGAGGACAGTGAAAGGCGAAACTCATTTTGAAGTCACTTCAAACATCTCAAAGACAGGATCTCTATATAACTTCCCTTCACTTACATATAGTTATTATTTAGGATGTACTATTTAGGATGTAATTTGATAAAGCTACTAAGCTAATTAAATGTTTCTGATTTCTTACTACATCTTAATAAATAGATGCTCACGTGTACACTGTTTCTCCTAATATGAGAAAAACTGGGAACTTTTAAAAACTCCTCAGTACTGCTAAATCCATTTATTTTCTCCTAAAAAGATGGAATCTAAATTGGCAGCTACAATCAGGTCCTATCTTTTGTATGAAATTTAAGGTAGAGTCTTTGTAGAGATGCACTTAGTAGATCAAAAACCTATCATCCATAAAAAGTAGTTCTAGGGTATGGAGTACAATTCAGGAGTAGAGTCATTGCCTCACATGTGTGAGACCCTAGGTTCTAGCCAGACCACCACACACACAAAAAAAAAAGAAAGAAAGAAAGAGAGAGAGAGAGAGAGAGAGAAAACGAACAAACTCACAAGCAGCTCACATAGTGACCAGATCTTGGTGTTTACTACAATTCTAAATAAAAATAACCAGAATGTCCTGAAGAAAAAGATCATTCCACGGATGGGGCATGGAAAATATGAAATAAGCCTGAAACATTCTTTGAGATCAGAATGGAAACACCTTTAAAGAAAAAAGAGGTCCCACTGGCAAAGCTGAAACAATTTAAGCAACCAATTAAATAGATGACATTGGATTATAATCCACATAATAAAATAAATGTCCATGAATTCATACTGCTACAGTTGAGTAAATAAGGCAAAACAGACAGCTCTTTCTTACAGGAAAGAAAAATTAAATGTAGAATGAGTGAAACTTTTAAAAAATCATTAGAAAACATCACACAAAGGGGTGGGGGTAGAGCACTTGCCTTACATGTGTAAGGCATTGGGTTCAATCCTCAGCACCACATAAAAATAAATTAAGATATTGTGTCCATATACAACTAAAAAAAATTTAAATTAAAAAAATCTCTTCCTGGTTACTCTATCACAGTTAAGATTAGCTGATATGAGCTATGAAATACTTCTAGAAACCAAGCTTGAGGGATATCTCTAGCATACTGAGAGAGCAATCGGATTAGGAAGCTTATAGCTTTGTAGACTATTCAGAAGTGTTGGCTCCTCGTCCTCTATTGGAGGAAAGTATGGGGGAAAGGGTGGTAATTGCTTTATGTTGAAAATTTCAAGCCCCTTGAATTGTCTCTTGGCCTGAACCAGTTACTACTATGAGGTATGTGTGCCCCTAGTGAGGAACCTCCTCTTCTGCAGCTGGCATTCTGTGAAGCATGGAGCATATCTTCCTGGAAGAAGGCAGATCTATATCTATATATGAAATCAAGACACAATGACTGATTTATAGCTCTAGGGGAAAAATTAAGTAGCAAAAACAGATCTATGCTGGAGTAACCTCAATGGGGCTACTTATCCTTGGGTATAAAAATCAATACTGCACGTCAAGTGGGTGCTATTCCTAGCTTAGAAATGAGAATGAAGATTCGTGAGTGGTTTGCATGAGCAAAAGAATATTATCAGATACAGGTATGACTGAAATGATTCCATTAGATTTTTAACTAAAAGTAGCCTAATGCTTTGTAGCTAGTGGTTGCCATTTTGGTAGCACAGATTTAGGAGCATTTAAATGGTATAATGATAAAAATAAATTTGAAGGACATCTTTTTTAACCCTGAAGATAATGTATTTATAGAAGTGCCTCATGCTTTTAATAGCTAATAAATTGTTTCTAATATGTGACTATTCTTAATAAATACAGAAAGAATGCAATTGCAGAAAGTGCAGGAATCTAGGATTTGCCTATTGTTTTAGTACATCTGTACTATAGTAGGGACATTTCAGAGATCTGACTCTTGGTTCTGACAACTTCCCACTGAGCCACATCCCCAATCCTTTTATTTTTTATTTCGAGACATTGCCTCACTAAATTACTAAGGCTGGCTTTGAACTTGCAATCCTTCTTGCCTTCCAAGTCCCTGAGATTACAGGCAGTGCCACCACACCTGGCTGGGCATTAATTGTTTTAAAGAGCAAACTTCAGTTTCCTTTAGGCCTATATAAACTATTTATAGGGGCAATTCAGGCTCTTTAATTTTTGCTAAAACATTTCAATCCTAACTTCTTACCCTAGGAAGTTATATAATATAAACTTTCCCACTTGTATATATAGTCTTCTGCTGTCAAACATCTATCAAAAATATCTGAGGTAACAGATATGTCAATTACCCTGTTCTAATCCTTACACATTGTATATACATATGGAAAAGTCAAAACAAATACCACACTAATGTACAATTACTATATAAACTAAAATAAATATATTTGTAAAACTCTTGGCAGAAATATTTCAGATTATTTAAAGCTCATGACATACACTTGTTCCTTTATAGGAACTAGATGCATCACCAAGTAAGATGCAGCCATAAAATAGTAGTGTATGAGAACACAGAGTCTTAGCATCCAAGTGTATCCCACACTTTGGGTTAAAAAAAAAAAAAATCGCTACCATAAGCCATCTTAGGAAGTGCACTTAGAACATGCACTCCCACTATTGCATACATTATGGATAACACTGAGGGTACTGTCCATTGCCTTCCTCAGTCTCCTCTACATCCCTGTGTGACACACACACAGGACATTTGCCTCAAAAAGTAAATGCCAGGGAAAGCTCCTCTGAAGAGCCAGCATATTTTTCCCCTTTGTCACTGAACTGCGTTACAGATTATTCCCTTTCTATTATGGTCTCCAGGATGAAACTTTATTAACTGCAGAGGGCCCTTGAGTCAATCCATGTCCATTGTAATATGCTCCCTATGGCAGCTTTTCACACTGGGCTGTATTTTATTTTCCATTTATTATACTTATGCTCCCCACATGTCTCATGAATATAAAGTGACAAAAAATACACAAATACATTGTGCATGTTTGTGATTTTTAATACATCTTGATGCAAAAGAATGTGTTTTCTAAGGAAACTCCTGCATTAATAATGCTCAGGGCCTGAAACAAAGATTCATTTGTTAATATAAATCTGTATGTTTTTCTGATGAAGGAATTAGTTTTTACATTTGTAATACTAGGCAAGAAAATTAAATGAGGCAACAATACAAGTATATGTTATTTTGGAGGCTTGGGATGTAGTTCAGTGTAGCCAAGGATGCACAGGGCCCTGGGTTCAATTCCCAGTACTAGGGGACAGGGGTTGGGGGCAGAATATATATTTTTTTAACTGATAGATTTACAACCCAATGTGATCTTATATTTTCCTGTATTGCTTGAGCTTTTTCAGTATTATTTTTATTAAATACTGTAATAAGCTGGTTAACTGTCGTAAGTTACTTATTAAAACACAACAGCCAGGTGTGAGGGACAGGAGTCCCAACTACTGAGGCAGGAAAATCATTTGAGCCCAGGAGTTCTGGGCCAGCCTGGGAAAACATAGAAAGACCCTGTCTCTTTTAAAACTCAATAAAACTAAAATAAAACTCAACTATCCACAGAAAAATTACAAAAGGTGACTCAATAAATATTTCAGCAAAGCATCTAAAATTATGTTCTAGGAATAATAAAAATATATTAGATAGCACTTTTAAAATACTGATGTTAACAAATTTCTCCTTGTTGCAACTCCCACGGTAAGTTTCTATCCATCTAATATCAACTCTTATCTTCACACGTCTGGAGACCAGCAAGAGTCTTACCTTTACCAATCAGACCACAACACACTTCCAGACCCAGAATCAGTTGCACCACCACCTCATTTTCTGAAAAGCCACTCTGAATTTCATACTCACTTTCCAATGAAACTAACTGGAGCTACCAAAATCATCTCATTTGAGCAGTGTGCTATTTTCTAACAAAATGGGCACACAAATAACCACTCACCTTTCCTGCCACACAAATTTACTCACTCCGCTCAACAGCAGTTCAGGTGACCAAGGGTTCCAGTCTCAGGACGTCTGTGTTCAAAGTCAGAATTAACACTCATGGATACAAGCTCTGAGAAGAGTCGGCGGGACCTTCTAACCATGCCCTGAAGCAGCAACTTCCAGTCACCAGTGACGTCAAGCATCTGCAGGCGGCTGTCGAAATCCTGAAGCACTATCCCCAAATACCCCCGGCTCTTTCCCCGCCTCCTTCTCCTCGCCTCTCCCAACCTCAGTGGAGGACTGAGAGCCTCCCCTTTCCTCCCGCGTTCGGGGGACCGTGTCTGTGCCCGCCCAGGACGCCGATCCAGGACACCGCCCGCAACCCCGGCGGAGCCTTCCGGAGACTGGGACAACCCCACCGCGCCCGCTGCCCTG